CTTTACCACAATTTCTTATTGGACACATTTTGAGAAAACTTTTACTTTTAAGAAACTTCAATATAAATGGTTTAGTTTCTACTCAAACATAACAATTTCTGTACATATTTAGTTCAACATGATCATATCATACTGTAGAACACACATATTTTAAACCGCTATTATCACTAGTGATTATTTTACTTCGTTCATTTCACATGTACTTATGTTCGTTCATGTCACATGTACTTATGTTCATTCATTAGAGATCATCCATTAAGGATGACATGTACATAGTCCACTTATGATCATCCATTAAGGATGACATGTACATAGTCCACCTATGCTCATCCATTAGGAGTAACATGTACTTAGTAACTTTACCTTCATCCATTAAGGATGACATGCACTTAGCCCTTTTACATTCATCCATTAAGGATGACATGCACTTACCCTTTTACATTCATCCATTAAGGATGATAACTACTTAGTCATTTTACAATCATCCTTCAAGAACGAGAAACACTTAATCCTAGTCCACTTTTGTTCATCCATTAAGGATGACATGTTCTTAGCCTCTTTTACATTCATCCATTAAGGATGACAACTACTTCATTCATTTGTGTTCACCCATTAGTGATGACAATTACTTGACCTAGTTATGTACATCTATTACGAATTATAACTACTTGATTATGTTATGTAAATCCATAAAGGATATCATTTCAACTTGGATCCATTCATTTCCATATAAGTCTATCCATAAAGGATGACTTATGTTGTACTTTTATTCATTTGATACTTGACATATATATCAGGGATTATTTTTCATCAGGTGATATCCATAAAGGATAACCACTTGTTTACATTAATAAATACAATTATTGCTAACACCTTTTAATCTAATAATAATAATCATGTGAAATAAAATACATTATTTTAACCTTACCATACTTATTATGTATTTTCGTTAATTAGGCATAACACAAGAGGTATTCCTTCCTTTTATAACATTTTATTGATCACTCCACTGTTACATATAAGCCAGGGTTGTTACATTATGATTGGAGTGATGTATGCATAGAAGAATGACACTGGTTTTGAAATATCTTAATTATCCCATTGAATGAAGCCATCCGTCCCTCTGTCCATTCTTAACTCATACTAGTGGACTGATTTGATTTAAAGGAGAAGTCTCGGTGTAGAACGTGTACGCACTAATGGGAACGAATTTTACTCATTTCTATTTAGGATTCGTTCATATACTAGCGGGGCTTTAGAGCATTTACAAACGCACGAATTGTATTGTTTTAAGGCAACTTTTATGACATATAATCATTGTATTTAAAGCTGATTAATTTTAGATTATATTCGGTTCAATTTTACAAATAATGAATAGTATTACAGTATATCGAAAAATGTACAATGATTTACATTAAATTGCGCAGACTGCAAACAATGTACATGATTGGCGAATTTGCATGCGCGTTCTTGATAATAAGAATTAAAGGTTGAACTTAAAAATCAAACATTTTCTTTTTTAAACATATTAAATCTTTAAATCAAGAAAATAAAAATAAGATTGATGATTGAACTTTTCATAGTCAACTGCGACTGTGTCGACGCATGTTTATTTACTTAGCTAATTAGATATGTAAAATTGTTAATGGCCGCAACGGATAATACGTACATGTAAGCTGTTCGGATAAGACATTTCTATATGATTAATAACAAATCCCGGGCAGAATATTATTCAACAGTACCCGATCTTATCAGTTATTATTCAATTTGGATAATAAATCTATTATCTCGTCGTATTGATGTTTATTATATAGTGTTTCTCGTTGTGATATCACAAGGATGATATCAATATTTCCCTATTATATACCTGATGTTGCTCTGAACATGGTATAAAACTCTACATCACATACTTAGACAAATGTAAGGGAGATATAATACAAATGCTTTATTTCAACGAATTATAGGTAGATAATATGTCTCCCACCGAGGTCTATATCGGATATAATATAACATTTACTTAATCAGGAAATATAGTTTAATTATTCCATAATAACATGTTTTCCCTGGGAAAATAACAGGGAATAAAAGTGTTATTTGAAAAATCCCGTATCAGATCCCGTATCAGCCAAAATCCCGTATCAGATCCCGTATTGGATCCCGTATCAGCAAAAATCCCGTATCAGATCCCGTATCAGAAATATTCCCGGTAATTTCTCTTGAGTTTTACGCTTTTCGTCTAGCACATATCTACAGGAAGTAAAAAAATCGTTTGGAAAATTGAAATTATTGAAATTATTATCATCTAGTTTACGTCTATTACTGTGACAAAGGTCATTAAGACGTTTCATGATATTGTGTTTATTTTGCCATATTATGAGCCATTTTATTGTTATAAATTATTTATATTTTTAAGTAAAACTTGATAATAAAAGTTGAAAATGTTATATGATAAATTGTATAATTTTATGTCACAATCATTGGATGATGACATACAAAAATTGAAAAAAATATATTATGAAATAAATAGGTTATTGATGGTCGTGATGGAATATGGATTTATTCCTTGAGAAAATATGATATTGGCCTCAGAAAATATCATATTGACACTCGGGCTATCGCCCTCGGTCAATATGATATTTTCCTTGGCCAATATCATATTTTCCCTCGGAATAAAATCCATATTCCATCCCTCCCATTAAATAACCTCTATTTACAAAAAATAAAATGTTAAAATGAGTTTACAATAACTACAATAAATACAACATAATATTTATTATCTATTTATTCATTTATTTATTACTATAAAAAGTATTTACATAAAAGCTTCATGTTACATACAGAGACACCACAAGGCATATACCAGCATATATCAAGGGCAATTTATTTTTTTGTTTTTCAATGAGTAGGTATTGTTTCTATGATTTGTGAAAGTTTCAAGGAAAACATGAAAAAATGAGAATGTTTTTGCATGAACTTATTGAACGACCTGATATGTTGATAAAATAGCATTTAAAAGTGCAAAGAGATTCATATGACGTGCAAGGACCTGGGGACAATTCGGGAAATGCGGGCTGATCTCAGCTTTGAGCGTTAACCTCTGCCTCATTTAAAAAGCTAACTATGTGTTTTATATATCTTTTTGAAGTATTTTTTATTTCCATTTCAGTGAAATTATTTTTCCTTCAAAATTTTGATGGGATCCTACATATTATTAAAGTTAAATATACCCCGACATCGTCAAATACGCTGTAAGACGTAACACTTTGCGCTTACGGGGCTCGTTGAAATTGGGATAACTTTTGAAATAATGATCAAAATCCCACTAAAATTTCACATTTTATTCAATCGAACATGTGCATTTATGACGTCACAATTGCTTGACGGCTACAGTTCAAATTATCTTAAAACGAACGCTTTTAAAAATTTCAAAATTGTGTAAGGTTTTGAAGGCAAATGGGACGAGGAATAAGTTTACCTTCATTTAACCTTCTAATTTATGTCTGATTTGAAAGAAAAATTAACTGCACAATATTGTCATGGCGAAATTTACAAAACAATAACCAGTTTGTTTATTTTGCAAATAATATTAAAATAAGAGCTGGTTTTCGAGACTTGAAAAAAATGTGACGCATCGATTTTGTACCACAAATTCCATACATATCAATTTTTACTAACGCCCCAAATGGATTTTAGAAATACTGTCCTCGAGATCTTGCTACCCTGTGAATTTTGTAATGATTAGATAAGGATAAAGTATTTTATTTTTAGGTTGAGTAAACTTGAAAAAATGTGACGCTTGTCGTTTTTGACGTTGTAAGGCTGTTTGCGCCCTATACTGCTCATTGTTTTGTTTTGTTTTTTTGACGCCATAATGTTACGCTAATTGTCCCCAGTTTCGTGCGACGTGTATCTAGTATTTTTCATTACATCGTCAAGGTCATTCCACAAAAGTGGTCCATATTTTTGGGCACAGCATCGGACAGCATATTTTCCATTCAATCGATATGGGTTCGATTATTGAGCACAACACGTTGCTTATAATCTGAACATAGTGTTACGCGGTATATGGCATACATTCATGGTTGCGCGGTATTTGTGATACGGGTGAATATGCCATACTCACCTGCGGTATATGGCATATTCCGCAGGTGAATATGCGATATTCCGCAGTGAATATGCGATACATTGATTTCAGTGAATACCCGATACTCACCTGCGGAATATGTCATACTCACTTGCGGAATATGCCATATACCGCAGGTGAATATGACATATACCGCAGTTGAAAACGTGATACAGAAAGCCTTGATTTGATTGGTTGCGAGATTCGACTCTAAATGTAAAACTACGCTGGATTACCAATATAGTTAGTGCGTCGAGTACTAATATATGAATCCTGTATTGATTGAGAAAGTTTATTACGCGAGATTGGTGACTGAAACTTCTGCTAAGTTATTATATTCGATAGACAGTACTGTTGATTCAGTAATCATTATAATAATTTATAACGTTTTACTTGTTCGTTCAATCTATGCAATTGACAATTGCGTACTTCCGTATCACGTTCTCATTGGTTAGTGTGTATGCCATATACCGCAGGTGAATCTGTCATGCACCGCAAGTGAATATGCCATATTCGTTGCGGAATATGCCATATTCGTGTTTACCGCGTAACACATAGTACTATATTGTACTATATTGTTTCACATCCAATCCTGCATGATTCTGGCCATAAGCAGAGATCTTCATATTAAATTTAAAATGTTCATTCATACTTGTACTGTATAGCAAATGTTATATTTGACAAATGTATTAAACTTGTTCTTTGGGAATAACTTCTCTTTGTTAACATGACTTATACTATATGAGTGGTAGTTTGCCTAAATTGCCTATTGCCTAATTTCTGCTAGATTCGGAAAATTAAATGTGGGGTCATGAAGGTAAATCACCAATTAATAAATTTAATTGCATTTAAAATTAATAAATATTTAGTTTACTACCTGAAGCAGCCAGGCATACTGTAACCAAGCACTGTAATAACTGCATGGTTGGGATTCAGATCTTTTTCGTCTCTTCCAATGTTAGGCAAAATCCTGAGTCAATTTCTCCGATTTAAGTTTGCCTAATGCCCGAGTTACAATGTCTTTTCTAAAATGGTGGCAATCGCTGCCTCCAATAGTGACATAAGTCGTGTCCTCACTGAGTGGTTGCCAGTTTCTTAAAGTTATACACTACCCGCTAATTCGAAACTCTATTATTTTTATACATGTATCATTAGAAGAGTTTTAATCAAGAGATAATAATAATATTCGATAACAACCCCCTTGAAAAGACAAGCCATTGTCTTGTAGGGTTTTAACATGGCACCGTGTAAAGATAACTACCCTACTTACAAACAAAGTGCATTTTATGTAAAATAAACAAATGAAACTCAAAATATCGATGGCAATATTGCAGGTTATCTCTGAAGCCCAAATAAAATGTTCTCAGTAAACTATACATTGGTATATGGTGAAAACTTTTTTATCCCATATTTTATTGAAAATTATGTTGTTTGTATATTAAACAGCAAGGAACTTGTAATAATGACACGTTTAAATATTTATTCAGATCAGGTAATGAACAGAAGTATATCCATTTACATCTAAACTAATTTAGTTTACATATAAGACACAGTGTATGATACTGTATACATGGTAATTTTGCCTAATCATTTAAGTTGCCTATTGCCTGATTTTTTCCAGGTTCGGAAAATTAAACGTCGGAAATATTAATTTCACAATGTTATCCAATGGAATGTTTCCTGTCATTATTAAATTAGGATAATGATAAAATTTTACCATTCGGCAATTTAACTACTCGGATTAAATACCACTTATACAGTATGGTCCAAACCTGGGAAGTTTGAATTTTGAAAACTTGGACCGAGCACTTTCTATAAAATACAAAACAAAATTTCAAAATACAAATTCGATTCATTTTACCCCTCAAGGTAATTACAAATAAATAAACTCATTAATTTAAACGACACAATTAGATTTTAATTATTATTATACGAGATACATGTAGTTTTATTTTCAAATTAGTTATCCCATGGGCTTTCAAAAGATCTCTTGAAAGCCCCTGTTTATCCGAATCGTGCCAAAAATAGTTTTGGTCATGATCATGACTTATCACTAGAAGGAGACAACAAGTCATTTGATGCTAGTAAAGAATTAGCATCAAATGCTTACGGAAGATAGAGTAGGTGATCATGATGATACCCATCAAATCTTTCTACCTTCAACTAGAAATCTTGAAAGAAGCTAGCTATAGAGTCATCATGAGAACAAAATATGGCGACATTCAATTAATAGCGAGTTTGATAATGCACACTTGTATAAATAAAACATAGATGGCAGGTCAGAATAGGTTATCACTAATGTTGATTGCCGAAGTATTTTGTGTTATCTCTGCAAATCTCATATACGATATTCATGGACGAAGCCAGTTCTTTTCATTAAAACTGTGGAGATAAGTCCAGATATAGTACGTAAATACCTCCTTAACACCCCAGTCACATTTCCTACGGCGACCTTGCGTCTATCATTTCTGCAGCCAGTAGCTTTTCTACGCTCGCCGCAGAATTTCTGCGCTCTCATACTTTTGCAGTCACATTTCCCACGGCAGCCGCACGGTGAATTTTAAATTTCTGTTGATAAATAATACTTTTTTCATTTTATTTACATCGGGACAACTTATAAATGTTATTTATAGTGCTAGGATGTAATATCAAATAAAAAATGATCGTGAAACATTGACAAATAATGATTCAATCTTGTTGAGCCAGTTAATTTCTACGGCGACCTCAGAAATGAACAAAAATTATAACTCCGAGTTATAATTTCTACGCCTTCCCTGCGGCCTGTAAAAATCTGCATACGCCGTACGGAGGCCGCAAGGCGAGCGTAGTTTTTCTACGCTCGCCGCAGAAATTCACCGATTTAATTGATCTGCGGTCGACTTGCGGTCGACTTGCGGCCGCCGTGCGACAAATGTGACTGGGGTGTTAGCCTCGCCTAATCATTTTTACCTCGGCTTCATCAGTGGCCAGGTTTGGCAGGGGTTCAAATATTTCGCCAAAATATTATCGGAGCCAAATAACGGTGAAAATTCGAAAGCTCGATCTGTGCCAAATATGCTTTAATTTCGCCAAATTTGCTTAAATTTCAACAATATTGTTAATATTTCATCGAAATTTCTTAGATTTGCTACATCAGATGAGGGGCGCAGCCAAGATCCCAAATAAGGCCCTTATGTTGAATCATGCGTGTCTCATTCGATTGGTGCTGCTCAAGTACACAATTGAATATCTACTTAATATAGTTCCAATACAACTGAATACAACCTATATATTTACAAACCGATAAAAGAAAAAACGCATACTAGTATGTACATATTTATAAGTTCGAAAAAGTGCGGAGTTTTTATAGAATGGGCCGCATTCCGTCTAATTGCATCTAGGTATCCAGTTTTTCATCACTGCCAATGTGTGAAACCTGATGACCGGCGGTGAGGTTCATTTATTGGTTGTGTAATTCAGGGGATTCCTTTTTGACAAAAGTTTTTTCTCACTCAATGTCATATATATTCGCAACCAATGTTGTACAGTGCTCTTTGCAAATGCAACTTATCTCAGTATCTCCAGCACTACATAGCCCGACATTGGGTTCAACATTTGATGCAATTGCTTCATCGTTTATTTACAATGACCAAATATTCTCTATTGGGGCAACATTGTTTTTGTTGGTAGAGGTGATGCAATATTGTCATACCCATGCGTGGCATTTGGCCTTGTATTTGGAGCACTTGTAGCATTTGCTGGATTAGTATAGTCATTTGGTTCAACGATCGTGGCATAAGCGGGCGGAGCTGGAGTGAAATCTTGTGCTACGGCTCCAGTGGGATAGTTAACTGACGTGGTTGTAGTCTGCTGTACGGAATAACCGGGATGATATGTAGGCATGTGATGACTTGAGTTTGTAGTTGCTACTGTAGAGTTCTGTAAAAAATAAAGTATTTGAACGTTTTATATCTGCAAGGTCTACGTTACGTATAGGTTAAATCAATCTAATAGGTGATGATATTGTTTTAGGCGTTAAACCGATTCGACTCTTGCTCGTGATGATATTGTTTTAGGCATTAACCGATTCGACCCTTGCTCGTGATGAAATTGTTCTAGGCATTAACCGATTCGACTCTTGCTCGTGAGTCGTGATGATATTGTTGTAGGCATTTACCGATTCGACCCTTGCTCGTGATGATATTGTTCTAGGCATTAACCGATTCGACTCTTGCTCGTGATGATATTGTTCTAGGCATTAACCGATTCGATTCTTGCTCGTGATGATATTGTTTTAGGCATTAACCGATTCGACTCACACTCTTAGAGCAATCATTCATGGATTGAAAGTATGCTTTTTAAAGTATGATATATGTTGTAATAGTTTGCTCGTAAAAGAGTGAGTGATGGTCCGTGTCATGAAACAAGTTTTAAAGGTGGTAATTTATTATTAGATATCAGGAAATAATTCTTACACTTGTCATATTTTTGTTGCGACCACGAGATCTACAGCAACATACAACGGTGATAATTATGGCAGCAATGGCCGCCAGTATTCCAAAGACCAGTCCTGCAATTGCACCACCCGTCCCTAAAACAGACCAAACAAAAAAGAATAAAAACGAGCAGACTGGCTACCAACTGTGATGTTCTTAACCCTTAAATGGCTAAGCTATAGATAATTACATCAACGGTTGGGCGGGGGGGGGGGTAGATGAGAACATAGGGCATCTGACATTATGGGCTTTAACCAGCTCTGCTCCCACCCCCAACTGTTCAATTGAAGAGTTGAAGAGTTCAATAAATGATATCCACGGGGTCGTTACAAAACTTCATATAGAAATAATTATTGGATTTACCGTCATCATGAATGTTATGTCATATAGGAAGAAAATAAATGTTTTTATTTTGTTAATTTTACGTAAAATTGTGTACAAGTCATCCCAGTACTACAAACTAAAATTTACAACGTATCAAAAACATAGGCCTATATTAAAACAAATCTCACATCTAGAGCATCGTGCATAGTTGCTGCTCTCGTCAGACAAATCCATGCAGTTGTAAAGACCATCGCATCGCAACCGTGGTGAGATACATTGGTAATTTCCAAGACATCTATACGAGTATCTTGTTGTGTTGCAATGTCCAGGAGAGACTAAAATAAAAATCTCAACTATTAGTTGAAAATCATACGTTTTGGACCAACATAAAGATGGCAGCAACCGCAGAATCGGTATGAAAAGATGAAGAAGAGGGGGGAAACCCTACCCTTTGTATTCGTTCGACTTCACTTCTTAAAAGAGAACATGCGACGTCTTCAAAGTAGTGTATAACTAGACTCTGCGCGCAGGGTAGGAAAACCTCTGAGCTTAGGGATGACAGACGTCTCTTGGCTTGCCACTTTTGTATGTTCGAATTTTCACCCGGCTAACTTCCGAATGCTACACGTTGTTGGTTATGTCTTCTCAATACACATAACATTATAGACACGGTTTCTCCGAACCCTGTCCCCCCTTAGAGATATGAATAAACATGGATTGATTGGTATGCCCTTACTCAAAAAATATTTCTATCGCCCTTAAGCCTACGTGAATGCTAAAATAATCATAGGTGTTTGAGCGTTGCGCGGCGCGTCATCTCATTGTTCAAAAATCGTATTCGAGGAAAGATATCCCAACGACTAGCGATCCCAATGGTGACGAAAATATAGTTTTATGTTGACATGATCTATCCTTTGAAAATTAAAGTAACTATGAAATAAATAATCAGATTTGTCGAGAGATTTTTAATTGAATTCTTTACGTTGCTGGTTTGAAACTTACTTGTAAATATTGTGTAATACACTTCAAATCCATGTCTATATGTTCCGACTATACCCTGATCCCCAGCATAAAAGTCTAGTGACATGCCGTTTGTAAAACTGACGTAACTGCTTGGTGGAGTCCAAGAACCACAGAGACCATAGGAAGCTGAAATGAGATTCGGGAAAAAGAGAACATTAAAACATAAAAAACAAATAGCAATGCTCTTGAAACTTCTGAATATAGGGTGTTCCAAAAGTTACAGGATTGGTACTGGCATTTTGTTAAATAATTGGCTTTCAATAGATTGAATGCCCATGGTTAAATATACACCAATTGTCTTCGCACAAGATGTACTTTGAGGTATCACAACTAAACTGTAGAGTTACAAAAAAAGTTAGGGAATTCAGGTAGATCTATAACGGTTACTATTAATAGTAACCAGTTTGAAGACTTCCGCAAGAGTGTTGAGAATGGTCACAAGAATACTTCATCATACTTACGGGTTAACCGGACATTGTCGCCATTCAGAATATGCAACCAATCCCTGTTACATGGTCTCCCAAATGCGGAACCAGGAATTATATTCATACTTCTAAATCTCAACATGATTCCTGTTCCAGGCTCTGAGCGTATATTCAGCCTACACCTGTATCTCTCCCTGTACCCAAGACCGTTTGTGAGACGGATAACTCCGGCTACGTCCTGGGTATACAGCGTGGATTCCCCCGTGCGGCATACCTTGTCCATAACCGCTAGAAATATAAAGGAAATGATTTTATCATATAGTGAAAATGGCAATTTCCAATTCATATGGAATAGTAGTTACTTTCTAAGAAGCTCGAAATGTACGATCGTATATAAATAGTCGTCCCTAATTTATACAGAATGATAGTTCCCAATTCTGGCACAGGACACAGTACTGATTCCAATTCATACAGATCATTAGGTTATCATTAGCTTATCTAGTAATTAAATGTTCTATAATATACAACACGACATCAAAATCGTATTGTATAATAGAGTATCGTATACCCATATGTGGTGCTAAGGAAGGGGTGTTTAAGACTCAAGAATACAAATATTTTAGTATTTACATCTAGATAACTTAAGTATCTGTTAATCAAAATATTAAACTTACTTCTTTGGTATTGTCCTGAAGATGTCGATATTCTACATAGCAGAAACGCCAAACAAAATATATCAATATTAAAACTCTTCATATTTAACTTAATATTCTTATATTGAACTTATTATTGAATATGTTTCCATGCACAATTATTCCTGCAAAATGTTCACGAAATGAGTAAATCTAGCGTATTAGTATATTTTCAATTCGTAATAAGTACTTATGAAATACGACGGCGGTGATAGTGTGTTTCTGGTTAATATTAATTTAATTAATTGAACTTTGTAATCTGGTATGATTCTATTTTGCCTAATGAGAGCGATTAATGCATAGATAAAGCTGGGGATCGACCATGACATAACATACCATAATCAGACTTAAAACCTTTTTTAAATCCAATTACAAAATATTAATGTTACCCGGATGTTGCTTACTGTACTATATACTATTTTTTGCCAATGAATGTGAAAATCCGGAGTCTTCGACCATATGAACCGAAAAACTTGCACAAATGATTTATTCAAAATAGTCGGTCCCTTGGAGTCCTTAGCATTAGTTTCTTATGAGTTGTAATATTTCGATATCAACTGATAAATATGACTCATTACAGAACTTAATATTTAACTTAACGACAGCTACTTCATTGTTTTTGCCGTACCTTTCACATGGTGGCGATCAACTGATAATAAAATAATCAGCCATATTAAAAGTGTTATTGATTTAATCATTTTTCGAACGTAATATGTGTTTTATTCCACCTACATGTACATTTGTAAATCACCACGATGTTAATATTCTGATTCATACGTTAAATTGTGCATTTCCGAATTTGTCTATGAAACCATGGACTTTCTCTTGAAACCTCACGATGAAACCAAAAGGAATCATTTATCAATTTTAACAGTGGCTGTGATATAAATGCTGAAATGAAAGGGTTTAGGAAGATGTTGATGATATCATGTGCTTCTGTCCCAAGACATGAACATGAATTGCCCAGAATGATACAGTCATTTTATAGTTCTATCAATACAGGTTTTCACAGTCCTCAAAATGTTCATTACGATCCTCATTTCTATCCTCAAAGAGTTCATTTCTATCTTCCATGTGATCCTCAATACCATCGATTTATTTTTCACATTCCAAAGACTGTTCCTCCCAATCTTTAATGTGTTTCTCGTTGTGTTGAATGTGCTCTGATCATGACAAGTTTCTCTCGGTCCTCAATATGTTCCTCGCAATACTCCATGTGTTCCTCTTGATCTTTAATATGTTCCTCGCAATAATCTATATGTTCCTCTCGATCTTCAATATCTTCCTCGCAATAATGTATGTGTTCCTCTCGATCTTTAATGTGCTCTTCACGATCCTTCTTAATCATCGTGGTAAACCATCCCCTCTCCATCCCTGTCCTTATGGAGATGCGATGCAACAGAGAGAGAGAGAGAGAGAGATGCTATGACTAACAGAATGATCATTAATATGTTCTTCATGATCCTTTTTTCCAATATGATCCCTAATGTGTACCTCAAAATACTCAATGTGTTAATCGCGATTCCCGATGATTCCCAATAATCCCAAATGAGTGTATTCGATTGCTTTAATGTTTCTCGCGATAGTTACTGTACTTTTGGCAATAATCTTTCATCTTTATGTTCTTAACGGACTTCGATGTGTTCTTCACTATTTCCAACGTATTCATTAGAATCAAGAATGAATTTGTTATCATCCTGAATGCATTCCTCATTATCCCTAGTGTGTTCCTCTTATCCTTGATTTGTTAAGTTCCTGACTATATCTAATGAAGATTTGCAATATGGTGGAATCGTATTGTAAAAAGCACATTTTTATTCAGACACAGTATGGATATTTTTCTCGAATATCATTTTGTTCTACAACTATATGAGCAGATGCATTGAAAACGGTTCTGTAATGGGCGCACTCAGCTTTTGAGGCATGCCATTTAACTCTCGAGTCTCCTTTGGTCCACTGAAGGCTATTATATTCAATGTTTTCAGCACTGTAGGTGTGACTTTTCTTGTTCCTAAAAAAGTCAGGTGTATCCAATGAAACATGAAGATGTGTTAGAGTAGATGTGATGTCAAAGACGGGAATGTGGTTTATCATACAATACCCAATAATCCAGCTGTCGAAAAGTGGCGCCCCAACTATAAAAGCCGGGATTCTCTCCCAGGGTACGCCGTTGTAACTTGTAATAAAAACATCGTACGAACCAATCGAAGGTTGGATTTCACCGTGCGATGCAAGTTTTTCAATTGTAATATCATCACTGACATCAACTCCAATGCCATATTTGGACTCATTAAGAATGATGTTTGTCCTACGTCCTGTTATAATAAACTCTTTAATTTTTTTCCTCAAAATAAATCCATGTAATGCTGATAGAGTCGACAGAAGCCGCTTCCTATGAAAGATAATATCACCATTTGTGTAGCCGTAAAATATGCTTTCAGAAGCATTCTGCGCAGTAATGAACATTTCCTTAAGGACCGGTCTCCCTTTTACGCTCATATTTGACGTATCATACGCACACGTTTGTACTCGACCATAACCTTTACCCTGTTCATGTAACACCTTTGAATTTGCAAATACTAAGACTCTGGTTTTCGGCAAACTTTTTAGATTCATTAAGGTTTTATTTTGAATAACTTCCCGGTGTTTAACTTCAGCAAAAGTGGTACATAAGGTTAGAAATGACGATCCGTTTTTATTCCGTGAGCTATTCCGTGAGTCACACGAGGATTCCTCTGACAAGTCTGAAGTATATCGTGAGTGACACAAAGACGCATCTGGAGTATTTCGTGAATCACACAAAGACACCATTGAAGCAGTAGTTGTCGGTTTCAGATGTACAGTCTTACTAATATCGCTTTTGAAGTCATAACCATAAAATGTGATTACAACAAAGATATAACCACAAATCACAACAGCACCAAACGAAAGAAATGTGACATTCCATTGTTTTCTTGATCTCCTGAACATAATCGAACTGGAAATATTATTCGTTCTTATTTTTCGGTTAGATGCTTGAGTTTCTATTTCCTCAATCCCTCTAGCAGCGGATTTAACTGTAAGATTAGACACATTTTCAGAATCTTTTCTATGTATGGATGCTTCCTTTTATGTATTCTACGAGATTTTTGATATGCAATGAAGCAATCGATTGCTCATCATAGCTTCTCTCTCTGGTCCTATGTTTCTCATAGAAGATAGGGACGGATCATTTTGGATTCGGTTGTGGGGGACTCGTAAAGGGTAGGTCCGAGTCTGATTTTGAATTTAAGGTGCAAGTCTGCAGATTATGAATTAATTGGGACATTTTAAAATAAATCAGTTATATGAAAACTATCTCTATGCATAAGCTGGGAGTGCGAAAGTAGAGGCTGGAAGCGAGTCTAATTAGGAATTCAAGGTGTAAGTATACCGATTATGACCAAGTTGTAAAATACATTGGTTACGTAAATTCTTCTCATAGATTGACACAAACAAGTTTATTCAATTGTATACTACATGTAGAACAAAATGACAATGCATGTCAATTCTACATCAAGTGTTTCTACATCAAGTACAAAACCAATGAATAGAGTTGAATATCGTTTATATAAGGTACCCAGACTAAACCAACACAGCCCTTGGTGTAATTAGCAATTTACTTTAGTCTGTTAGTACTGTACGTAATGAATTATTTAAGTTTAATAGCGGGGCTCTACTGCATTATTAATAGAGGTACCAACTTGTTGTTTTTACAACGCTCCTGAGGGAGAAGGAGGGATCAACTCAACCCCTGATTTATATGTTACACTGCTGAGAAGACTAGCAAAATAAGGCCTTTTACAATGGCAATTTGATGAATTTTATAAGTCGAATTTCTTTTGGTGTTTTCTTGAATATCAGATTTTACCAGCGCACATTTTAATCATTTATCATAAATATTTATTGGCAACATTTAGCTTCAATAATCTTAGAGAAAATTTTGCCCGAAGCTCATCAAAATCCTTCCAAAATGTCCATTAAGAATAGACAATATAAAATTGACTATGGTTTAAGTATATGAATATAAATATATAAATTCCTAAGCAAATTGTCATCAAAAACCTCCCATTATTTTTTTCTTCCATAGTGTCCATGGCAACCAGTTGTTTCTCTGTTGTAAACTTGAGTGGTAAACATTGAAGTCAACTTTCTGAAGGCCAAGCAAATACTGCTCCATTGCCCCCTGGAATTAAAAACAGAAATATAATGTTGTCCTAAATATTTTCTAAAGTTACAAATATGACTTTAGAATTATAGATTGCATAAAAAGACTTTGTTTGAAATAATAGATGTCACCTCAGCCTAGAATATAGGGTACCGTATTTATGCACCCCTTCTAAACCGATATACACTGAATTCTCAGATATAGCGATGTGCATTATAGAAAAATAATCCAAAGTTCAATTTTCAAATTGGATACAATTGTATATAATTGCTGGTTACAGTCTATACATCTACAGTGTACATGCAAAGCCAACAGAACATAGCCTGAGGTTGAGGTGATCTGCTAATAAAAATAACAAACGCATTTATAAATGGCTCATGTTTATGCTTCAAATCTCCATTATTGCATGACTTGAAGCTTTAATATTTCAGTGACAATTAAATTTGATAACATGGGACTGTACAGCAACGTGCAGAGATGGTCAAAAGTTGCAAACAATCTTTCAAAAAGCATTCTTGATTCATCATATTCATATCGCTTAAAGCATTGCCTCGAAATAAAATCTGAAAAGTTGGACTTATTGCATAGGCATGGGATGAAATGTTGTAAGCAAGAAAATATTGTAAAATTGCAAAATATTTTAGAAAGTTACTCTCTACTTGACTATGATGCCTTTGTTGCCACTTTAACTATATGTATTCTTCTACATTCTACTATCTGTCACTTCCAATCTTTTTCGCATCATTTCAGTTTTATAAGAATACTTGTGACAACCATAATTTGGTGGTTTGAAAATGTGACAACCATGATTTGGTGGTTTGAACATGTGACAACCATGATTTGGTGGTTTGAACATGTGACAACCATGATTTGGTGCTTTGAACATGTGACAACCATAATTTGGTGGTTTGAACATGTGACAACCATGATTTGGTGGTTTGAACATGTGACAACCATGATTTGGTGCTTTGAACATGTGACAACCATGATTTGGTGCTTTGAACATGTGACAACCATAATTTGGTGGTTTGAACATGTGACAACCATGATTTGGTGGTTTGAACATGTGACAACCATGATTTGGTGCTTTGAACATGTGACAACCATGATTTGGTGCTTTGAACATGTGACAACCATAATTTGGTGGTTTGAACATGTGACAACCATGATTTGGTGGTTTGAACATGTGACAACCATGATTTGGTGCTTTGAACATATTACTTACTGCTGGTAGAAATACTTTATGGGTTGATTTTGGTACATCTTTCTTCATAGATCTTGCCTGAAAATACAAAAATGTATGGACCTTTAACAAAAAATTTGTTGAACATTTCTCTCATCACCTGGAAGAAATTTTCAATAGAGTTATCATTTAAGACTAAAGACGAATACATTTATTGATTTATACTGTAGCATTATTGCACATGGCGTTATCGATTTATATTAAGCAAATATAACAATTGAAGGCGCTCACAAATTATTTAATATGAATTGCACTAGGTGTGCCAACATTATTAATGTGACTTTTACAATAGAATGGCATCACAATGACAGGGCCAGGGATCCTCAGGATGTCCCCACCTAATGGATTATTATCTAAATTTTAAGGACTGATTGAGTGCACAACTGTCAAAAACTTTACAGACATTAACCAACAAAAACTAATGAGTTTTAGATTTTCACACGTACCAAGCAATGAGAAAGCAAAAACAATTTTTATACTATTTTGCTTGGAAAATATAAACTACAAACACAACTTTGCACAAAATAACAGATGTTGGCCAGATTGTTTTGTAGTAGGATCTCATAGGCTCAAAGAATAGTACAATAACGTAATTTCTAAGGGCAATATAGAGAAACATTGGACCAATGGCCGAGGGCCGAAGGCCCAAGGTCCAATATTTCACTATATTGCTCGCAGAAATGAGGTTATTAGTATTATCACCACCATTAACGACCAGGACTGAAATAGCAAGAAAATCTTACGCACTGAACAATATCTAATAAAATAATGACTGGAAAATAATTAAATCAGGGACTCAAAAAATCCTGCCCAGCTAAGAACAAAAAAACTTCACCATTGGGCTAAACATTTCAGAAGGGTTTTCCCTTCAGCCACTGCCAATTTCAATTTCCACCCTGATATTAACAAAACCCATATTAGAATTTCCTTCCAGACTGTATATTTAGTGAATATTTAATGATGAGGACATGCTTTGATCCACTGCCAACTCACAACATGAAGTTACTTTGTTTAAACTCATCTGTCATATCTGTGTGAACTGAGAGGTACAGAGCTGTCAAGTGTCCCGCGAATGGCGGGATTATCCCGCGAATTTGATCAAAATTTGGCTAATTCGCGTGTCCCGCAATGTCCCGCGAAGTCCCGCAAATGTCGGCTTTGACCTCCGCGAATTTTCAAAATTGTAACAATCCCCGAGGCTAAATAATTGTGATTATCTTGTGATATACAGTGTAAGAAGCTATATGGTACACCCCAGTTGTCCGAAACCCATTACTCCGAAAAATATAGGCATAATTTACCAGAGAAAGGGGGACGTACCAAGTTAAGCTTACGCCAATTTCATGCCATGTATTTGGCCAATTAATGGGATGGACGCATTCTGATGTTTATAGATCTCTCTCAGCTCTCACTTAGGATTGCACCAATATTACATGGTGCTACTAGAATGGCAGGAACAGGGGATTTATTTTACATTGTGATCCTAAAAACGGCTATTAAAACCCAATATATATTACGGAACAGTTTATCTTAACTTCTTCAATCTCTTTTTATAGGCAAAATAAAATGAAACATTTTGAAACAGATAATATAAGTTAACGCATAGAACTCTAAAAATAAAACAGTATACATATTACGTTGTCAAAATATTTCGTCGCATTTAATTTCTTAGTCTCTGTCTCTTATCAAATCGTAAAAGAACAAAACATTCTAAACTTAATCACTTGGGATTTATTTTTCGGCATTCGTTTCAAGCATTTGTTTTTTATTTTCTTCTCCTAAAATGTATTTGCTTGACAATAATCAGAGAAAATGCGTATAAGTATTTTGCGCATCCTCCGATCACAGGGCTTCAAAATCCAGAATACGGATTCTGGACACCTGATTAGGAGGATGATTTTGCGTGGCATATTCTGTCACGCAAACAAACGGGTGTGACTTCAATTTCTTGTCTGTCTGAGGACGTATTGGGAACGAGGTAGAATTAAAGAATTTTATGAACGAGTCATGCAAGATACTAGAACTAGTAAAGTAATTTATTGGATAAGTTAATTTCTGAAGGATCTAGATAAAATATGTTTCAAAACTTTGTGAACACTACATAACTACATTAGGCAGATATAGTATCTTGATATATTTCGCTATCATGCGTTTAAAATACGTTCCTAAAACTATGAAGACGTTAGGTGAGAAATATTGCTATATAATGTACGTTCGAAAAGTATCTGGTTGTATTTTGTAGTTCTCAAGTTACCCATGAACTTTCGTAGGCTAAACATTAAACAATTAACGTATTGACTTAGCATATTTAGCCTAATTTTGCAATGATGTCAGCGTGATTCCAATGTTATGTTGTCGTGACTCGCAGAGGTTGTGACAAGATTCGCTTAAAGAAATTTTATTTTTAAGATAAGATACCCTTATTTTCGAACAACTGGGTTTCGGAAAACTGCTCGGATTCGGAGAATTGGATTTCGGACAACTGGGTTGATTCCCATCGGACCCCTATATGAAAAGGCAGATTTTAATATATAACACAATGGCCCCAATGTTTCATAGTTTGTCACGAACGCCATAAGTGCAAAGTATTGTTCAGAATTTTTGAATTTCGTGTTGGATTACGGTACTCACAAGTGTGGTTTCTTGATAGTTTAAGGGTGCAACAATGAGTGCAGAGGGGCCATTCAACGATCATGGAACAGTGTCAAAATATATTTAAGTTTGGCTATTTCTTCAAGACTAACATATACTTTTATTATTTCCGAAGAAACCCCCTGGATGAACATTATTTCAGCCGATATTCCTCAAAATGGTGCATCTTAAAAATCTATAAGTGGGACTCCCTTTATAGAAGATTTGAACTGAATTTACACTTCTTAATGCTGAAATTGATAGTTTGTCCATACATTTTAAGAAAATAGGTATGTCAAAGAAGATGTTAAGCCAAATGTTGCCTTGATAGGCCTAGCTATGAAAAAGTAAAAGAATTTGATTTTTCTCTCTAGTAGGCCTTGTTGCCCCTTTAATAATATTTCTATGCGTATTGTGTGGAGTTGTGTTGACGTTTACTTAAGTTAAGTGCATTATATTTGATAAATCAGTATCTGAAAGTTTGATTTGAGTACTTTTACATTAAGCCCCAATCACGCAAATCCCTTGAATGTCCTGCGACATCCCACAAATTTAGGTGGATGTTTCGCCAATCCTGCAAATTTAGGGCACTTTGTCTAAAAAAATTGCCCCTCTATGAAGTCTTTGGTGGTTACCCTGTTATCTGTCGCGCAATTAGCGTGTTTGTCCCTCGAATGGTCCCGCGAAATCCCGCGAATTTGATCGAAATTCGACCTATTAGCGCAATCACGCAAATTCCTTAAATGTCCCGCAAAATCCCGCGAATTTAGGCGGATGTCCCGCAAAATCCCGCGAATTTTTGGCACTGGGTCTTAAAAATCTGTCCCGCGAGAAAATCTTTGGGGGTTGACAGTACTGGAGGTAGATGTATCACATGACATATAACATTGTGTATACATACAATACTCTGGTTTAACATTGAAACATGGTAAATGAAGAGGATTGAACAAGGAATAAAGTAAACAAGCATGAAGCTGACATTTTAATTGTATTCAACGAGAAAATGCTATGGAGGAAGTTGTAAAATAACAGACATATGACAGACAAAAATGTGTATTTTTATTTCACACAGTAATTGTATGCAGGCACATAAAGTTATTGAAATATGGACACAGGCAATAAAAGTCATTTTAACCTTGATAAACATAAAGATAAAAACCAATTACATTTCCCTGTTGAATTCACCACATCCTTTTGAACTTTTTACTAGTAAAATATTGAAAAACTGAACACTAGGTCACCTTGTATCATGAGCCACCTGTCAGAGTCTATCAGGGCTGAATCATTTGCCATTAGTGGGGGGGATGTTTCATCATCTTTTAGTTAGCAGTTTTTGTCCATCAAGATCTAATTATCAAATGATCAGCCCCTCATCCCTATTACATTACAAACATTTGGAGCAGTTTCATTTTATTCCTGGACCCATACAATTTAAACATCTGTTTAACAGATCTGTCTGGCCCCTTGCAAAAACCACTTGCCTTTTTTGATCATACATAGATCCAATTATTCTTTCCAATATATATTTAAGCAATTTTAGAGTCAAATAAGAAAAATGATTTGCATATCCTAGGCTATTTACGCATGCTAAACATAATTTTAAGCCTGTTGTGGCCTTAAAGACTTTATACAGCAATGATGAAAGTATTCTAATCGACCACAGACATTTTACAGCAGTATATCAAGCAGTAAAGCTAGTAAGAGAAGTACATGTAAATTGAGTGTATGTTATGAAGAATTAACTAATGTTAATGTCAGACTGGAGGCAAAGATATATGTGCATCATGATATAGCATATAACAATAAAACCACTGATACACTGGTACATATGTGGTGTTCAAATACGTAATATACAAATCAATACAACAAGGAGACAATATTAAAACTGGTGAGGAGTATTAACACACTGTAGAAATGAATATGACACCCGAAGTTAATGATTAGGACATTTTAAACATTAATCAAGATTAACAGTAGAGACAATAATCATAAATGATTAACATAATGGATGATTAATATGAATGAATAAGGCTTTGATAATTTGGACTAAAGATAAAGGATATGAAACTACAATGTGACAAGCAGGAGTAATACTATGGAACTATTTGATAAGGAAGTGTGCAGAAAGTAAATATCAAATCATCTCAACTTGATGTATTTTTGAAAAAGTAAATAAAAAATGAAAGATAAGACTTATACATGGATGTAAACCTGATAAGGTACAAGTTAACGCCTTAGGCATCAATCATTGAACAGCTAAAAAAGTACATACACATATCAAGAGGTCATTATGGACACCAATAATAGAAATGTAAGACATATCCCATGAACCTTTGCTCGAATCACATGGCATATATTCACCAATCAAAGTGGTTAATTAGCCTTATTATACACAGACTTGGGAACTATCAGCATAAGATCAAGTGGACATTTCAAGATAAAACAACTGAATACTTCAAAATGTACAATAGCAGTCATGAACTTATCTTTCTTAAATATGCTGGCAATCTCATAAGGTCAAAGTGGTTGATTTGAAGTTTAAATGTGCATAAACTAGCAACTGTACTGTTATACACTGAGGCCTATGTTCAGTTTATATACATATACATTTTAGTGTAAAATTATTCTCCATATATGGACAAAAATGTCTGGAACGCAAAAACAAAACTCTTCAAGTATAAGGGATTCATTTCGGAAACGCATTGGGGCACTTCGAAACCTTTTCCCCAAAGAGCAAAAGCAGGAAACGGATCTTTGCCTTATATGGCAAGATTTAAATAACATCTTCAAGGAGGTAAAACTTGGAAATCAAGACGCTCTCCAAGGGTATAGACACCTCCTTAACACATATAAGAATGTTGATAGGATTTTCCCGACAAATGTGTGGAAACGTTTCTTTAACATATTGGATTATATACACCACCAACCAAAAGTGTTTTCTGTAGATGCTGTTGTGAGTTGTCTTAAATTGGCAAAATCCTTCAAATCATTTACAAAAAACCAACAAGGCATCATCAAAATTTGGTTGGAGGTACTTTTACATGAGCGCTCAAAGAATGAAATAAACATGGTTTTGGCGGTGAACAATATCGGCTCTGAGATTCGTCTATGTAACTATGCAGATAATCTAATCAGTATTCTTGAACAGTATTCCAGCATAGAACGATGCCATATCAATTCTGATGCTTTATGTAAGCTCTACAATTCTGTGGCTTATGTTGCGTCTCACATCTACCAGTATTCAACCACAGATATTAACAAATGTTTAGAAAAAGCGAAACAGTTGAAGGGTTTCACCCACACCCAGCAAACAAACATCTACGATTGGTTAAAATATGGAAACCATCAACTGGCGATAAAAGCTGAAAAACTTGTGATAAAACGACTGTTTAAAGCTGTATCACATTCCAGAGAGCTCCATCTATTGGTGACATCAAGTATTCTAGTCGATGGCCCAGCTCAGTCAAAAATCCAACAAAAGTATACTCTGAAATCCAAAGCCATACTTTTTGAAGCATTGGTTAAGATAATGGACCATCAGGATATTTATGCGCATGAGGATATGACTGCATGTATAAAAGTCTGCATCGATGCAACATATTTGACAGACAATCAGAAAAAGGTGTTAGTTGAGAAATATCGTATTGGATCAAAACTTAATGATGGTGATGATGATGACGATGATGAAACATATTATTAAAGATTGATTCAGAAATACCCTGGCTGGATATTCACGGCTAGTCACACGACACTTTTTAATTACAATAAATTGTATACATTCTGATAATACTGATCTCAATGTAGCTTTCAAGGTCTTAAATGTGAATTTGACTAATAATTAAATGAAATGAATGGCAGTTGAGTTCTGTGGAGTTCTTGTAGAGTATATTGTGTATGGCTAGCAGTTCAAAGAATTATTTTCCATGTACATGTAGAGGGTTGACCAAGCTGAACTTTTGCAAAGGGTATTTAATATTAAAGAATATACATAGAGTACATGTACTAAGATTATATCATATTATTTCTTAATATAACTAAATATACACAGTTTAAGTCTCATTACTCAATTTTGACAGCTGACCTCTCAAGAGGTATACAATTGCATATTACTGTTGAAGTATTGTCCATTCATAGTATAATTGTTCTCTTATGTGGTGGTCATGCCTTTTCCACAATTTCCTACTTTTTAATGAGCTGCCAATTTCTTGTCAATTTTGTACACTAACAGGGCATTTTTAAAATATCTGACAAAAGGCAAAACAAATATTAAAATAAAACAATGGGCATAAATTATTATAAATTATTGTGTAACATGTAATAATTGCCAAATTCATGAAAACAACAAGGAATTTACATGAAATGGAACAGAGAAATCACCTGTGTCTCAAGGTGCTAATGTAATAAAAACCCTGAATAAGATTGTATCCTTTATTCACTGCTGATTTATTTTATTCTTCTAATTTTGCTATTTTGACTTGAACATGTCAAAATATCTTTGATTAGGGACATCGAAGTATGAAGTAACTGAATATCAATGGGAGAAGAATGTTATCATTTCTTATATGCACGTTCATTCATATTTTTTATTTCAATTCTACATTATAAATAACATTTTCAAATGCAGGATTATATTCAAAGCAACCATTTTTCATGCCTCAAATTAGAGAAGCAGACTGACATATCATACAGTTTGCCAGAGAAACACATAGAGTGTTCAGTATATTCTGAAATTATTTTCAGACAAAATATAACACATGAAATATTTGAATTAACAAACGATTCATGAGAAAGATGAAAAAACTGATTCAGCATAAAGACTGCCCATATAAAATGCCAATCTGATATCTTATTTGTGCAAGGGAAAGATCAATACCCGGTGATTTGTGGTGAGGAAGATAGGTATGGTGCTTGACTGAGTTCATACATTATAGACTAGGTTTAGTCAATGTCATAAATGACTTAGCTTATTCCGAATCTTTCTGGCCAAAAAGAAAAACATCATTTTTCACCCAGATTCCAGAATTCCACCCAGTTTTGTTTTTCTTGATGTTGAAGGACTTGAATTTCATTAATGGTCTCAATTTAACCCTCCGAATTTCAATCAGAAATATAAATCACAATAGTGTTTAAACTTTACAAGCACAATATATATGTGTGTCTCTGACTGACTATATAACATGTCAGTCTGGTACTAATTTTTTGGGCATGATCATCTGTGTGAAATTGTTGCTTTGAATATTTTCCTTGTAATTTTCAATTAGATTCCTAGTGTTTAAAAACCTTCCAGATCTGCTGAAGATTTATTTATCTCATTTCAGAGAAATGGTCTGCATCTTCAGCAAAAGTTAAAAATTTTAAAAATAAAGACATTATTAAAAAGGTTATATCACCAAATAAAAAATATGGACTTTTATTTGGCTCATCCTGTAGAATGTATGGTAAAGTACATGTTTACACTAATTACAAACACAGGGCCTGGGACATGTTTACATGTACACTAATTAGAGATACAATAATACATAGAAATATAATTGCAGTTGGCATTGTCTTAAAAAGAAAGAAATAACAATCTATAAACTCCTGTATTTATTTCTCTGCATTAAATATGATCATGATTCAATATTTTGTTCTGTAAATAATCGAAACTAATGCATTATTGCATTAAACTTTGTGTTTTCTTTAGACCATATTCAAATTAAAAGTTGCATGTGCGGCTGTGCACTCATTGGAACTGTGCACTATTAGATAGAATATGGAATTTTCTTTCTTTAACTGATTCATATTTTGCCTCATGAAAACTGTCCAACTGTACTACACAAACTTTGGTTATAATACATGAACATACTTTTTAAATCAAAGACAGATGATCCGACTGTCTCGAATCCACTGTAGTGAAAGCTGGTACTTGTACTCGTGATCAGGTATCAACTTTCTAGATCAGTATGACTTGATTTTACCCTACTCTGTTACGTTATGTTTATCCCTGTTATAATTCAAAAAGAGCCTTTTTGAAAGAACTAAAATGAATGTAACGCTACTTACTTTTTCTAAGTGTGAGTTTGCTACGCTCGCAATATCATAAATAACATCCAACATTTTCTTCTCTTTGCATCCTCTAAACACTTCTTCCTCTGCTACGCTATGCTGTAAAACAGACATTGTTCTCATAAATAACTAGACTTTGGAAATTGAACGAAGTTCAATTTCAGACTCCAGATCTAGACTTTTTTAAGCCCAGTCATCTAAAATAAGCCGAGTCATCCAGAATAAGCTGAGTCATCCAGAATAAGATGGATGGATAAAATAGGAAGGTAGTATAGGATAGAATGGGAAGGAACGATAGGATAGAATAAGAAAGAAGAATAGGATAGAACAGAATATGAAGAAAGGATATGATAGGAGAGGATAGGAAGGATAGGAAGGAAAGGATACGAAGGAAGGATAGATAGGAAGGATAGGATAGGATCAGATAGGAAGGATGGATGAATTTTTCAATATTTTCTTCTCTACTCTTGACTTTCTATCAGGATACCATCAGATCGATTTTCCGAAATTTCAAAACGCCATAACTTCCGAACCGGAAGTCGGATCTAAATTTGATTTAAAGTTTCGGATTCCTGACAAAATTCTACCCCTAATTCTAAACTCATACATTAAATTTGGCGAATTTTTATTTTGACCTACTTTTTGGACACGCCATTACTTCGGAACCGGAAGTCGGATCCAAATTTGGTTTGCAGACTCGAATTCCTGAGAAAATTCTACCCTTAATTCATAACTCATATGTTAAATTTGGAGAACCTTTTTTTTTACCTACTTTTCGGACACCATATCTTAAAAGTGGGTCGAAATACTTTCTGACGGCAAAATGCTAACACTATTAGCACACTCTTTCCTACCTGTATACAAAATTTTGAAGCAAATCATTAAAATATAGTGTCAGAATCGCAAAAATAAGGAAAAACTATGAATTTGACCTAGATTTTGACCTAGGGATTTTGGTGTCCAAATTTTGAAGTTGGGTAGCCTTCGAGGTCCCCTTCTTTCATAGGCTTTCATTATTTTAAGCTGTACTTAGTCTATATCTCGTATTTTTCACTTCAAAAAAATCTTTTATCCCATTGACATAACATGGGGCACCAAATTTAATGATTTGTGAGCTTTCAAAATGTCATAACTTCCGAACCGGAATTTTTTATTTTGACCTACTTTTCGGACACCATATCTCAAAAGTGGGTCAAAATACTTTCTGACGGCAAAAGGCTAACACTATTAGCACACTCTTGGCTACATGTATACAAAATTTCAAAGAATATAATTAATCTGTAGTGTCAGAATCGCAAAAGTAAGGAAAAACTTTGAATTTGACCTAGATTTTGACCTAGGCATTTTGGTGTCCAAATTTTTATGAAAAGAAGGTTTTGAGGTCCCTTTCTTCTATTGGCTTCCATTATGTTTAGCTGTGCTTAGTCTATATCTCGTATTTTACACTTCAAAAAAATATTTTTTCCCATTGAATTAACATGGGGCACCAAATTTAGCGATTTTTGAATTTTCAAAACGCCATAACTTCTGAACCGGAAGTCAGATCGAAATTTGTTTTTCAGATTCGGAATCCTGAGAAAATTTCCTATAAGACTGATATCCTGGACATTGGATTCGGAGAACTTTTTTTTGGACCTCGTTTTCAGACACTGATATCTCGAAATCGGTTTGAGATACCAAAAAACTAAATCGACCCTAGATTTTCTACTTTTTTATGAGAAACACAATGAAAAAAACCCAGATCCAAAATATTGAAGGACGACCGAGAAAATCGAAAAAAGTGACAAAGTACTGGATTTGACCTAGTTCTTGACCTTTGACCTAGATAAAAAATTGACCCAATTTCCCACCAACTAGATACTGAACCTAAATAAACTGTATTATGGTCCTTACTGGATACCTCATAGTTATTGAAAAAACTCCTAAAGAATAATAAGAATAAGAATAAGAATAAGAAGAATACTGGCAAAAACAATAGACTCCAGATTGACATCTGGAGTCTAATTAAGTTTATGTATTTAACATGTTTAAGTTGAAAATTAAGTTGAAACGAGTAAACAAAGCAAAAAATAAAGAAAATTGCAGGAAACATATTGTTTAATAAAAGATTTGTGATAAATACTTATCAAATGAAATTATTTGAGATACAAATATACTATACAGGTTTGTTAAAAATTTTCAGTTTTTCTAGAATAAGATGTGAACTTTGAGGATTTTTTAAAACAGACTGTATGACGAGTAATGATATGAACCAAAGGTATATCGATTGAAACAGTATTATGGAAAGCTCACTAGATCTCATTATGCCATTAACCAAACATGATGATATGAGAACTGTCTCAAACTCTGTTACCTGTATTAATGTTTGTTGAGGTAGAAAGGTGCGTCGTCTCTGAGCATGATGTGGCACGGCTCGTAAAAGCGTCACAATGCCCTGGCATTTCCCTAGGTGACTAGCAGCATGGTCAGCTGTTAAATCCTTTACACCTGAAATGATGTTCAATAATAAGTTCTGATAAAATTGTTTGTTTGAACAAGGGATAACAAAAAATAGAACAAAAATCAGTACTTTTGGATACATTTAAAACTGAATGATATAACTGTCAACAATTTTTTGGAGTACTACTTGTATGTTTTGAATTCTGGCAGCTTATACAGGTACTCTAAATATGGTACATTTGTACTTCATAAATGACTATTTGAATATGGTGCTAACTCAACCAATATTGTTTCAGGGTGATTGTAAGACCGCAATTAAAATATTAAACAGTTTCTTCAATTTAAAAAAAATATTCAAAGTACTGTTACGGTGAACTAATAGTGTGGCTTGTTCATAATAAGTGGCTGTGCCTCTCTTGTACTAAATTTTTAATATTTTCTTAGAGCAAAAATACAAAGAAATAAAGAAATATACAAGCACATACATGTATGTTGAAGAAGATGTTATTGTAAATTTTATGTTACTTAATGACAATAGTCCACATTAAGTACACCTTGTTTGCATGTAAGATGTGTATTATGAAAGAAATACTAACCAATAGACTCTAACAACAGGTAGTTAATGGATGAGACAGTATTTTCTGAATATTTTTCTACTTCTTCAATTGTTTTATTTGAAGGATTTTCCAAGTTCTTTTTCTACAAGAGAGAAATGTTCATGTTATTTCATTCAAAGGAATATCAAATCTATCAATTTGTAAAATAAATTACCTTATATATAGATTTATACAGCAATTGAAAGTTCTGGAGAAAATATTATGTACTCGTTACCAAGGCAAATAAATGTTGCTCATGAAACAGAGTACATGTATTATTGTATATGAAACTCCCCCTATATGTACATGCTTCCAAACTCATTGTGGGATGTTTCATTCCTCTCTTAAAAGAAATTATCAAAGAAATATCCTTCGAAGTCGTAATCTTTGGAATGATTTTAGCTGCTATTTACTTACTCTTTCTTCTAAAATGCGATTCAGCCAACGTTTAGAAAGTTTATGCTTTTGTACAGCTCTCCATAACTCTAAAGCTACTGGAGTTTGTGGTGGGGCATCCTGCAAAATAATGCAAATTTTGGATGATAATGTGGTTATATTATTGACTTAAAGTAAATCAAGTCAAGCAATTATCACTGAATTTATTCCAGTTCTGTTTCATTGGCTGTAATAGTAATTTAGATGTACATTGTACGTATAAATGTTCAGGTTTTTTTGAGTGTGTTGAAAAATTATTATTATTATAGGTGACTCACTCGTTCGACTTCATGTTCATGAAATGATGAACTTTTTCAAATGTCTTCAAAGGAGTCGAAAACAAGAAAGAGAATTGTAAGTAACTTAAACCTCCTTGAGAACTCAATCTTATAAATGACACATACCTTGTATATTTTTTCAATAGCATCAGACCAGAACTGCATCCTCATCAATGCTGTTTGTTTCTCTGTCACACTCTCCCCAACCTAATAATAATGACTAGACATAAGACAAGGCATTTACATGCAAAATGTCACAACCTGCCATTTGTTACAGATGCCAAACCTGAACACAAACTTCCAAATGCCAAAGACCAAACAAAGAACACTGTCCACAGAAAGGTTTGAGACTTATAACAATATAAGTTCAAAATATTATCCCTTAGATTTCCTTACCAGTATCTTAGATTTAATTGTTTGTTAATACAGGTTTGTTTATAGGATTATGATTTAAATAAATTATCTCTGCTTCATCTTTCCACCATATTTGACAACTCTACTGAAATCAATCAGTACTTTATATATTACCTTTTTAGACTACATGGATGTGGGCTTTTACGAGCATTTATTAAAACAATTTCTTTAATTTTTCTGTGCTGTGATTTTATCGATTATCATAATGAAATTATCTCCTACCTGTGCAGTTTCAACATTGAAAGACCTGATGGCAAAGCTGCTAACTCTGGCTTCTTGTGGTAACAGGAGGTTGCATAGATAATTCTCGTAATCATACTTTCTGGAAATAGCATAAGTTTCAATAGGTGGAGTAATTTGAGATTTAAGTCTCAGGAAAAGTAGCTCAAGATGTCAATAAATTACAAAATAGTGAGTGGTCACATTGGATAAGGTACCATGTCCATGAAGGCTCCAGGTCATGGTATCTGACAGTTGATTTGACAAGTTCCAGATACTGAAATGAACCTTTCTTGAGGCATTAAGTCTTACATCAGGTTTTATTACTTACATTAATAATCAATAATTAATTTTTCTTAGTGGGAGTTATATTTTTCAACTGGTCTGACTTACATCTATTAATGGAGAACTTCCCACTATTCCTGTATAGACACACTTCAACAGTCTTTCAAGTGCACATTCAATTTTTTTTTTTTCTGTTTTATGAATGTACCTGTACCGTAGTCCTTTTGTTGCCGTCTTTGCTCTGATGTACTCTGATAGTCCAACTCATCAGAGTTGGGGCATTCCTTTCATTTACACCCCCAAAATGCAATCTGATTTTCGACGCCGTTTTGGTGCCAAATGGACTGACTACAGTAAAATTTTAAATGTTAGGAACTACTTTGAATTTAAAAAACTAGATAATGGCAACTCCGCGGAGTAGCAAATCCCAATGAACAAAATATCAATTACCGAATTCCAATCAATTATACTCATTACTTTGGTTAAAATTGAAAAATTTAGATTTTAGAATTGTGAATTCCTGCAAAGCAGCCATTTTGAATTTTCTGAGGTACAAATCTGAAGAATAATACCATAATTGTGATCTACTCCAAAATTCCTTCAATTTGAGTATAATATAGCCATACTTTGAAGGAATCGAAAAATTATTGCGAAATCGTACATTAGACGGCCATTTTGAATTTTACGAGGCTCGAATCAGAAAAAAGATACAATATTTGCAATCTACTCTTAGTTGCCTTTCATTTGAGTATAATAAAGCTATACTTCAGAAAGATCTAAAAATTAGCGAAAATTACTGTTTTCCTGACCCCCCATACACGGCCCCTGGGGGTCAGGATGAAAAACACGGAATATATGTGAAATAGATAGATGTTGCAAATATACTACCAAAATTTCAAACAATAATATTAATTACTTTGGTTTAGAATGAAAAATTTATGATTTTTGCGAAAAAGTCCCGTCATTTTTAAAGCGGCTGCCATCTTGAAAATTTTTTTTTGCGTACAACTATTCACCAATATACATCTTTCCACTAAATATGAAGAAAATCCGTCAACTCATATTTGAGTTATCTTCCGGACGGACGGACGGACTGACTGACTGACGGACTGACAGACGGATGGACGGACGGAGGGCTTCACTATATCCCTACCGAACTTCGTTCGTTGGGATAATAAGCAATCAAATGACCAAATTGAATCAGTTTATGTAAAAATGGAAACATTTATATTTATCCTAACTTTTGTATATTTCAGATAGTAATGTATAATGTGCAGCAAAGCTGTGGCCTTTTGTAATTTAGGGAGTTTCAGCCATGTTAATTTTTCCGAAAATAACATGGCAGAGAAGTATCAAAATATAAGAGGACACAGATATGATAGCTAAACTACAAAACAGACTAAAATATACAAAAGTTGGGATAAATATAAATGTTTCTATTTTTACATAAAATGTTTCAATTTGGTCATTTGATTGCTTATTCTTTAAATTCAAACTAGTCACAAACATTTAAAATTTTACTGTACAGGTAGTCTGGTGTCAACTTTTGGTGTCGAAAGGTTTCGGTGCCGGAACAGCGCCAAAGTTTTTTGATGCACAGTGCCAAATAATATTGGCCTTGTAAGAGGTACATGCAATGCCGCTCACTGATGATGGCTGTCTGCATGTATATTGTAATTTACAATTTACTGTCCAGAATGAAATGGGCGATAATAGAGATTTTTGGAACCGCCGAGTAAAATGGACTTACTTGACTAAGTTAATGCAATAATCCACAGTCGATGAACCAGCCGATGAGCTCCGTTCCCTTTTCCAGGCATATTGCCGGTTTTTGATGATTCGCAAGACACTCGCAGAGCGCTTCATTGAAAAAGAATTATTTTTCCAGCAAAATCTTTTTAGCAAAGTTTCTTTAATTGCCAACAAACATGTCTTCAAAAAATGATACCATGGTAATCTAATATAGAAATGGTGAATCTGATATAATAACTATTGTATCATAAATAAGGTGATCAATTATATCATTTGATTCATTACATCCAGAACCAAAATGCAACACGTTTACACGTTTCATAAATATTATTTATTCTCGAGTTAAATAACACATTTGTTTTCGTCAGAATTACGAACGGCATTCAAATCGCTTTTGTTCGCCCTTTTTAAAAATCTAGATTACAATAGTTCAAGACGTTTCGCCCGCTATATGGACTACTCGAGCACTAGATTTACATGGCACATGGCACGTGACATTATCAATCAGAGTTTTCTCAATTTTCCTACCGAAATCCTTCAAAAGTAAATGTCATGACTGAAGACAACGGCCAAGTTCGTCCTCATATCATCACGACTACAGTTGGGGACAAAAATAAATGACAGGTCGATTTTCGATCACCATTTCCTAATTATGGTGGTCTGAAAGCCCATAATTTCCAATATTGTCTAGATACATATCCCTTAAAATTTGTATATTTTACATTTTGTATAATCTCATCCTCTGATTTATGGCCTCTTGTAAATTCTCTTATTTTTAACATGGGAAATCCTCACTTCAGCAAATCCACCTGTCATTTATTTATGTCCCCAACTGTATAAACATGGTTTAAAAAGTGTTTCCACAAGTACATGTAGTCATAGTTCCACTGTCATTTGAAAACATATTTGTGACTAAAACATTTTGGACCAAAAAAGGTCTGTGGGCCTTTTTGGTCATTACTGGGCCTTTTAAGGCCTTATTTTTTAATTGCAGGCCAAATTTTAAAGAAAATGGGCCTAAAAATATCAAATTTGGGCCCACTTTAGGGTTTGAGGGCCCAAAATGTTTCTCTGACCTGAAATTTGCCCTCCCCCTTGTTGGTTCCCAGATCCGCCCCTACATAGCATACTATTAATGAGGTTCAGATCTACTCGGGTTTACAATAGTACAATCTATCTATTAATAATTAACTAATGATAGCTACCTTTTTGAAATTTGACCCTAAAATGTAATGCACCACATCTTATATTTGCGTTCAATACAGGAAGCCATATTATTCCATGGATGAATACGTTTAATAAGGTAAGTTATAGAAATAGAACTTCTAAAATAATTGATATACATTGCGATCGCACCCCCCCCCCCCCCCCCATAACCAATAAAGATGTAACCCTGCTGTAGAAGAAAAGAGCTTTAAAATGCTTTTCATTTTAAGCTTCTCGCTCAATTTTGAAGGAATATGCATCGATATTTGTAAATTTCAAATTAAATCTTAATTTTTTGGCTTGTTTATGCCACAATCGCCCCCATTGTGCATAATCAGCTGCCCTCTCCACGATTCAGAAAAGTAAAATAATAGTTGTCCTTCATCGTGTGTACTTTGTAAATGTTTTTCAGAGATCATTGTAATCCAATATTGACAATGACAACATCTGAACATATAATGATGAAAGTAACCGATACCATTTGATAGTAACAATAAAAACGAAAAAAACGTGATCTGAAAAAATACACATCCTTAATGTAGTGGTCGTCGATTGACAACAAAATTATTTGAAAATATTTATCATTTGAAGTCCATGCAGCAAGCTAGGCTATATAGTATTTTATATAAATGATATTGATAGGCCCCCACGTGATCTCTCATTGGAGTCAGTTTCAGTTCTATTGACCTCGATTTGACCTTTGTTGACCTACTTTAAAAAAACTCTTCTGAAGAGGTATAAGGTTTACAACAATACCAACAAAATTGAAATCAGGCATGAAATAAAAAATCGCAGAGCATGGGGAGGTCCCCTTGCGAATTAATGTTATAGAAAAAGGTTGCAAAGGTTAATTTCATTCCAATGGTAGCAAGAACAAGAGACATTCTATTTCTAAAGAAAAGTAAATAAAGATATATCAATATTATTAATTTTCAGAATGAATTGTTACCATTCAAAAGATGACCATTGCATTGTTAATGTGAACCATCTAAAAACCGTTACGGTGAATTGAATTGAGGCGTACAGTGGCTACCCTCCATTTCATTAATTTTTGAACCAACTGAAATATGCGAGGGGGATATTTTATTTTTCCAATACCTTAAATACGATTATAAATGTGCCCAGTTAACATTCATACAATTTTCATCATTTTTCTCGCTTGTTCTCGACAATTCTTTCAGGAACATCTTTGTCGATTTTGCCATTGTCAATCCTTAAGTTAACATTATTTTCAGATAAAATGTAATAACATTTATATATTTTTCAAGGAACCACGTGGATGATAAGCAGCTCGTTTCGTGGCAACACAAACACAAATAAGATTCAACGGAATCGGGAAACGTGGAAAAATTACGGTCGGAAGATGAGCAGAAGAGTAATACAACTGGGGACTTTCTAGAGAGTCTAATTGCTCAATTGAAATACAAATTACCCATGTAATAGTATAGTTGAAAATGAGGAGGACGAAAGTGTTAATACTAACGGTGATAACATTGCTCTTGATGACAAATATAATTTTACTAATGCAAACTATAAGTCCCCCATTGTACTCGATAGAAAGGTACAGAGATAGGGTCGAATCGACATGTGTCAAACATTATGCCAATTTCAGTCAAAGACGTATAACGTATGATTTTTATGATCTCAATCAAGAGCTAACCGAGAAACATGACTGTCTTAAACTTAAACCTCCACCGAATCCTTATATATGTATATTTGATGTTAAAAAGGATAAATATGTATCGTGGTTTATTAAACAGGATGGGGTATGGGAGGCCCCTGTTGTCAGAGTCTTCATGAAATTGTTGTCTAACCATCCACATTTGAATCTTATTGATATTGGTGCCCACGTAGGTATGTACAGTCTACTAGCGGCTTCAATGGGCCGTGAAGTCCTCGCTATTGAGCCTGTGATATCCAATGTTAAACTTCTTCACGCCGCCATCAACCTTAATCACTTTAAAGATAGAATTAAGATATTGATGAATCCAGTCACTGACTCTTATCTAAATGTTACTTTCGTTCAACATGACACAAACCAAGGTGCAATTAGGATCAGAAATGCCTACCCTAGCGAGATTACCGAAGAGAACATACGAGATCAAAATGTAAAGGAGACAATAGTTGCAGACGATATATTATCTGTGGTAACTTTCAAGAGTGCAATCTTAAAAATAGATATCGAGGGTCACGAATTGAAGGCATTGAGATTTTCAGACCGTATCTTTAAACACTTGGCGATTCCTTATGTTTTGATGGAATGGGGACGTTTGTTAGAGTTGCGCAATGAGCACGAGCCAGAACTTGCTGAATTTGTGATATGCATGACTGAGCGGCATTATAAGCCATTCTCCTATGAAATGGACGAACTTTCTATACAGAGATATGCCAGGTGGCCTTGGGATATCATGTGGGTACACGAGAGTGTAGTTTTCTCTCTATAATGTAGCGCTCAGCGACATGCCTTTAGGAGAGTGTAAACAGTTGGAGTTACTTAATGCATCACCATGGAATAAAAGATTACTATACGGGAAGAATTGGAATACCCTTGGACGAAGGGTATTCTAGCATGGGCGTAGCTAGAGGGAGGGGTGATTGAAGGGGTATGATTTGGCAATTTTGTAAAATTTCTTGAATAAGCATTAACAAATGCTTAGAATGCATCATATACAACGTAAATTTTAAAAGATTTCCGGGTTGAACCCTCATACCCCTTTTTGGGCTCGCTCTACTCGCAGTGATGCAAACCCCAAAAATCGCACCCCCTTGACATTTGCTTGCTGGCTACGACTCTATCTGGCTACACGTACCTACCAGGGGCGTAGCCAGCTTTCAGTCAGGGGGGGTGCGATCGCCGAAAATTTTCTCTATGTGAAACATATTGGTGCTTTATCAATCATTTACTACAAAAATGTCAAGATGTGTAAAGTATTGGGAACTTTATTAATCCACTCGAATATACCAACATTTACATGGACGAAGATTAAGGTCTTCATCTTGCATGCGAAAGCTATACCGAATATAATATTTGCTATAATCTGGCATTAGAATAATTGTTGATAAAACTCAATGTTAAATGAGTGTCTTATAATACATGAGTGTCATTGGGCAAACATCAACTCCCTACACTAACTCCATCACGAGTCAGTGTCACTTGGCAAACAACGCTTTCTCGATCAGTCTTTCGTGGAAATAAAAACCATTGCTACTTTCAATCCCTTCTCCCAAGCTACACTTGATATAATCAGAATAGTTAAATGGTTCTTATCGTTTTTGAACAAATATATGAAATGCGCAAAGGAGAAATTTTCTAAGTGCAATTTGATAACTTCTATTTTATCTATACGTAATCATCGTAAGGGCTTTGGATCACCTCAATACTTTCATTTTCCATTAGATTTTTCAAATTGCAATATCCCGAAGACTATGAGTCTTGATTCCCAAAGGATTCCCAGTTAACATGGTTTTATAAATCGAGTATGTCAATGACATACGTATCAATTAATATAATCATATACATCTATTAAATATGATATATTATAACTTAGATATTTCACAAATCATTGAGTCTATGCTTAAATGCCCAGGTTTGAAATAATTCTCCAAGACGGACAGAGTTTCAAAGTTCTTTCGATGTCTCCGCTCAAGAACTCTTCACATCTTTCATCGAACACTTCTTTATTAATATGTAACATCACTATTTGGAATACTACCCTATTTTATAGTTTAAGGAAGTCTTCCCCACGTTATCCACCTGCTGTACAACCAAGCACCAATGAGACACAAAATGGCACAGCCAATCAAAACACGTATCTTATTACACCCTCTTTGCGGGGTTTCAGGATACTTCACCGTCCTCAAAGGTATCAATAAATTCTCATCAATCTCCATTATGAATTTCCGAGATTGTTCCCAATCAGAGTGAGCGCCATAAAGCCTGTAAGTAGGGGCGTAAGGGAACATAAACAGAAGCTGGTGAGCAAGTTTAGGGTCCATGAAGAATAGGAGAAAGATCCTCCATGGTGTCGGTCGTGCTCCGATTAGCTCGGCTATGCTTTCCATATATGGTGGTACCCATATCTGAAATATAAAATGATCAATATGAATAAACAGCTACGAAAGAAAAGAAAGTCCTGTGTGATGTGCCTCTACATCATATGATAACATATTGCCCTAACTATTTTGACAGACACATACACCGTGTGTTTGGGATGGAGAAAGAAAAACTCACAAATAACTCACTAATTGCTTATAAGTCTCCATCTCTCCAAATGTTTCTTTGTTTTCCATCCGGTCCTTTTCTATACTTCGCTCCATTTCTTCTTTTGATGGTAACATCAGTTTTCCGGCTATAACTCTCGCAGCTAACCTTGCCTGTATGAATAACAGTGTGATGGTGTGTAAAAGCAGGTATTTAATACGAAATTAATTTCTATAACGTATTTTACATGTTTACTAAACCTACGGAACAGATATCTTGATTCATTTGATAATACTTAAAAAGGATGCGAAATATACATGCACTGTAGCTATACGCACACCAAATCTGTAATACTAGACCTACGAAACAGAGAGACCTTGATTCATTAGATAATCATAAAAGGATGCGTAAGCTACAGTGCACACCAAATTAAGACCTAACATGTCTACAAGACCTACATGTACGAAACAGAGAGACCTCGATTCATTTGATAATCATAAAAGGGTGCGTACTATACCTGTACCTCTACAAACACCAAGGACCTAACATGTAAACTATACCTACATGTACGAAAAAGAGACCTCGATTTATTTGATAATCATAAAAGAATGCGTACTATACCTGTAGCTCTATGCACACCAAATTAGGACCCATCATATATACTAGACCTACGAAACAGAGAGACCTCGATTCATTTGCTAATCATATATAAAAGGATGTGTACTATACCTGTAGCTCTATGCACACCAAATTAGGACCCATCATATACGAAACAGAGACACCTCGATTCATTTGATAATCATAAAAGGATGCGTACTATACCTGTAGCTCTATGCACACCAAATTAGGACCCATCATATACGAAACAGAGACACCTCGATTCATTTGATAATCATAAAAGGATGTGTACTATACCTGTAGCTCTATGCACACCAAATTAGGACCCATCATATACGAAACAGAGACACCACGATTCATTTGATAATCATAAAAGGATGCGTACTATACCTGTAGCTCTATGCACACCAAATTAGGACCCATCATATATACTAGACCTACGAAACAGAGAGACCTTGATTCATCCTCCACTGGAATCACGTATTTGTACGACGTTGATGGTTCGAATGGTCCTACAAAAGAACACTCAATATGAACATTACATTAAATCTATGAAATTTTTGTTCATTAAGTTTATTATTATTTAGTCTCTTTATTTTATCCTTGGAGGAACCCATCCTCCGAACGCAGAACTCCAGACATTATCCATTAAGTTATTTTCTTTTTCCAAGAGGCCTCTGTGCGTTTGGAGGATGAGGGTAACCTAACATGTAAGAACAATATCATAATGAGCATGAGGAATTGTATAGATGGCGCGTCAACCGTGTATAAGCACAACATGCATGAACATTAGCTTCAATGTAATGATTTTTGATATTTTGTCATGAAAGGATAGGTATCGATATGGAGAACTGAATTCAACAATGTTTTTCTCTTAAACCAATCATTGAAAACATTCTGTAAAAAAACATGGTATTTTATGTAATGTTGTCTGATTGACAACAATTTAATGCGACAATGATTTCGAAATATTTTATATAACTGTTTTTGTTAACATTTTTTGTTTTTTAGTGCAATTGTTTTTGCTCCTTTCTACCAATTCTTGAGAATGAAATAAAATGTCTTTCCGAACCTCGTTGGAACAGAATAGCATATACAAAATGTTTTTAGACCTCTCAATATTAAAGTTATACAAAGGAATTTTTGGTTGATTTTAAAAAAGTATTCAAAAAATTAAAACAAAATCCCCCCAAAATAGATTATTATTTTATTAACAAGATACTCTTTTAAAATCAACCAAAATGTCCTTTGTACAATTACAATATTGAGAGACCTAAACATGTTGTGTTTATGTCGTTTTGTTCCAATGAGGTTCGGAAAGATGTTTCATTTCACTCTGGAAACATGATACCAAGAACAATTAAAACAAGTGTTTGATGTGTTTTTTAAAACAATATAGATTAAAGTATGTATATCTATTTCAAATTATATTGTTACCATTCAAAAGATGGCCATTAAATTTACAATTTGTAAGATTTTCAGAAATTTTTGATGACTCAGGTTTAAGAGAAACTTGTGTTCAAAAAGTTCGCAATATCGATACCCATTCTTTTACATATGTGTATATGAGTATACAACATACATATTCACGGGTGTTAAAACACGAATATACCATGAGCACATGCTTTGAGGATCCGCGTTGTTTGAACCTACCGCCGAGCACAATTATACATTAAGACCCGTTACACAGTCGTGATACCGCCGAGCAAGCTCATTGCATCATCGGGTCTGCTTTACCCCCGTGATATTTGTGTGTCGATGCAAGCAATCACATATATTGGATTGTATGCCACACTTTTGCATCGGTTATTAGAAACACCCGATCTGTAATCTAACTGACGTGTACCTAAAGAAGGGTCTTCCTCCAGAAAGTCGAGACTTAATTTGAAACCAGTTGCAAATACAATTGAATCAATGCCATCAATGCTACTTCCGTCCTTAAATGTAACTCTGTTCTTTGTCATCTCCTTGATTTCACCTTTCATCTAAAATGAACTTCCAATATCAATTTCTGAAAAAAAAACTAACAAACAAAAATTTGATACTCGATAATAGATTACATTTAGAATCTATCTGAGAATACACGTAAGCTTATAAGCTATATAGCCTCTTTGTGTCAAACTAGCTTGATTCAAATTGACTTCAGATCCTTGTAGGGGACCCCAAGGACAAGTACAAAAATTTCGGCGGCAGGCTGCAAATCAGACCCGTAGGTACTGAGTCGGCAAATTTCATCATTTCGAGGCGTTGTTTGACCTTTTATTTAGGGTGTAGATAAGGATTAACTATTATTATCTATTTTTTGTTTCCAAGAAATCCGATTAAGAAAATAATTAAATCATAATATATGGATGTATGATAACGTTTTTTATTCAGTTTACCGTCAATGCCCCCGCGGCTATCCTAAACTCAATATCGTCACACGTAGCTACTTGCATTCTACACAGTCCACGTGTAGGTTCCATACTATAGTCCCTGAAGTTAAACCTCCGTCTAAGGAATGGTCCAAACAATTGATCAAATTGGCTAAAAGGAAAAGCCGTGCATTATCAAACCCAATGCAACATAAAATTATTCTGTATACAAGACACAAGACACAAGGTATATTTTTAAAGAAAAAAGGATGATATAAATTAGATATGTTACTCACACACTCATTCAAATATGATATAAATCTTAATTTGGGTTAATACCGAAGTGAGAAAAAAATAACTCGCATAGAAAACAACATTTGAAGAACAGAGATCCATAGAAGTGCATGCCCACTTTTCACAAATTTTATGTTTTTAAATAACCCTTGATTTAAAAGATAAAGATTTTTAGATAATTTATTGTAAACTCTGATGTGGTCTGAATGAGCTGTTTTTGGTATCCAATCCATTATCAATCCATTGGAAATACTATGAAGATCAAAAGTAAGACATCATTTTGCCAAAGAATCCTGAAAATACGCATAGAGTCCCTTTAATTGGTTTTAAATTACCTCACGTTATAACGCAGATTAGTGTATCTTGACCAAATAGGGGTGTACTGGTAAGGCATTCCACCAATCATTCGTTGCATCGGCCAAAGACCATGTCGGGCACTAAGGTACGTCTAAAATCAGAGTTTACGTTGATCTATGGTTTACATGTACGTACAACACTTCCATTTTTGTTTAACGTTGAAGCTAGTTGTTCTTTTGTATTACATTACTTCAACTTCATCATAGTTAAATGATTCAATATTTTCAGAGAATTTTGAAAATGAAACATCTCAAGCCTTGGAATTATAACATGTAAGTTAAAGATCTTCTAATAGCTTGTAGAGAGTGAAGAATCACTAAAACTATTTTCGCTATTTGAATACTTTTTTGAAGGTACAAACCTGCTCAGCCTCCCTGCTAATGTCACAAGCAATTTCCGAGGCGTAAGTACTCCCGCCAATTACCAAAACATTTTTTGATCTGAACTTATCCGGACGGTAGAAGTCACCGGCATGGCTTATCTCACCTTTAAATGATTCGATACCCTTAACGCTAGGCCTATACTGACGATTAAATGAACCACTACAGATAACTACAGCATCAACTTCATCAGTGCGCACTTTCTCGTGGGATTCCCCGATGGGTTTGGTAGTCACGAGCCATCCATGATCATTATGTTTACGTTTGATATTCACAACACGTGTGTTCAACTTGATATGAGGTCGTAGATTGAAATGGTCAGTGTAGTCCTCGAGGTACTGACCGACTCTACGGGGAACGAGATTGATTGGGCAATCCTGAAATTAAGTTATTGAATCTAAATTTGGCAACGAGAATTCCCTGTTGGTTAAGCCCTCTAATTTCGAATATCCATGAATGATGAATTCTAAATAGGCTTTAACATATGTAGTTGGAAAGAGGACGTTTTGGAGAAGGAACTAGTATTTAGCTATGAACATTGTTGTATACAATCTGTCTTCCTCAAATAAAATGCATACTTATAGCAATGAACTACCGTTTCGTCTTTAAAACCCGAGGCTCAGAGACTGGCACATGTATGTGTAGTATAAGTTACTTTTGGCAAAGTGTCTCCAATCAAAACAAAGAATTATCTATATAAATATATGTAATCATGGTTCAACTCACAAATGGGAAAAAAATACAGTCAGGCATTTCAAAATGTAGTGTTTGGCCAAAATCAAAGTTCAGTTTTACACAAAATTAAAATTTGGTGTGTCTCCCTTGGCTATGTTAACAGCAGCAATACTTTTCAGAAATTACCTTAAATTCGCTTTGAATAGGGGCGTAGCTATTCTGTAATCCTCATGAAACCTTTAAGGAGAGTTTTCTTGGAGCATTTTCGCTCATCATCCTCTTTTCCAAACTCATAGCCATCCTATTTTTGACGATAGCAACCATATTTTCGGTCACATTCAGGTCAGAGCTGTTTCCAGGATACTGAAGTAACTTTAATTTTGGCCAAACATAAGTCTAGAAATGCCTGCAACTTTTTCCCATTTGTGAGTTGAACCAAGGACGTTTTATACTTTGAATAAACTTTAAAATGATGTATAACAGTTTCGGGAGACCCTGTATGTGTAGTATTAGTTACTATTCACACATAGCTGGGCAAGGTGTGTCCAGTTCAAGCCAATCAAACAGAGAATTATATTTATTAAGTTCAGCTTTTTAGAATATGGAGGATTAAGAAAAATGTTATTCCCGTTTCACTTGGGTACACTTTTGGGAGACCGGTGTCAACGTTTATATAGACCGCACTAAATTCTAAAGTCCTGGAAAATTTTGTCCAGGACTATATTATCTAGAATAACAAGGCCAATATAAGTTAAAATAGGTCACAATGTAAAAATGATAGATATAGAACATATTTATGAACATGGAAATAATCGTGAAAACGTGAAGACAGGTCAGAGATATATGTACAAATTAATGAATATTGGACTATTTAACTTCCTTGACAATAGAGTGTAAAAATTCGGCTGTTAATTCAATAGCCTTTTTATTTGTAATTGTGTCAAGAGAAGGATCTGCAAAAAGTAGAAAGTCTACCCTGTCTTCCTGTTTTCTATTATTAAAAGAGTTTAAATTAACGGATGGCAGTCCCCCTAGTTCTCTGTGAAAATTGAGTCTTTGAGTGTTAAAAAGAGGGCAATGGAGCAATAGGTGTTTGGTTGATTCAGTAGAGTGACCACATTTACATTTGGCATTTGGAATATTTTTGAAATTATGTGTAAAAAGATGCTGCCTAAAAATGAGATCACATCTCGTTTTATTTAAGACAATTTCTTTATCTCTGGATAGGTTTAATCTTGGGGTTGTGAATTCTTTCTTTTTCCCATTCAAAAATGTTCTAATTTATACTTAAATGAGTTGCGTGAGTGTGCTTGTTTCAGTTCATCAGGTAAATTATCCCATAATTTAATACTGGATAAAGCTGTAAACTTTCTAAGTTTAGCAGATGCTTTGAATGGGATCTTAAAATCATTGCTTCGTCGAAGTCTTTGGTGATTTACCTGATTCTTATACTGTTCAAAAACATTTGAAACTTATGAAGGCATCTTATAATAATTATTTACAAAGTCAAACATAAAAACTATTTTTTTTATTTTCTTCGATTGGATAAGGATCTACATCCAAGATATGCCATCACCTTCTCAGAATTTGACCCTTGGATGCAACCACTTACAATAAGACCCGCTCTATATTGGACTCTATCTAAACTTGCTAAGAGGGTTAGATTTGCGCTGTCAAAATAATATTGCCATATTCGAGATGTGGGAGAATGAATGCCATATAAATTGTCTGTAAGTGTTTTGATCTTACTGAAAATTTGAGTGCTTTTAATGGATTTAACATTTTATTACACCTAATAATCACTGAGTTAATGTGTTCTTCAAAGCTAAGGTGTTTGTCTAAAATGATGCCTAAATGTTTATGGCTATTTACAAGAGGTATTTGCTCATTATTCATTGTTACTGGAATTTGTTTCTTAACTTTTCGTGTGTGTTTAGATTGAAAGATAACCTCCTTACTCTTAGATGCCTTAAATTTGAGTTTCCATTTAGTGGACCAATTTGCCATTTCATTGATATCTGATTGAATTTTTTGATTTGTTGCTTCAACTGATTCATTCTTTGGTACTGTCAGCATATAAAAAAAGTTTACAATTATGAACTGAGTCTGCTAAGTTATTAATATATAACAAAAATAATAGGGGGCCAAGAATTGATCCTTGGGGAACCCCACTATTTATTTCATAGGATCTGGAATCTCGATTTTGAAGATTTTGAGGAATATTTGCACCAGCTTCAGCATTACATGAAATGTCTGAATAAGTATCATTGATCCTTACTTTTAATTTCCTATCTGTTAGATATGAGGTCAATAACTCTATAATATTGTTGCCTAATCCATAAGATTTCATCTTATGGAGTAACAAAAAATGTGGGACTGCGTCAAATGCACCTTCCACGTCTAAAAAGATTCCACGGGCTGCGAGGTTAGAGTCAAAATTATCGGCTAACATATTAACAATAGAAAATAGTTGCTTCTGTGTATCATGGCCTGGTAAGAACCCGGACTGATTTTTCATAAATGATGTTCTTCGAGGAAACATTGTCAAAAATTGCTGTCTTAATTATTCGTTCAAAAAGCTTTGAGAGATTATTGAGGAGGCAGATTGGTCTGTAGTTGGATGGGTCTGTTTTTGAATTTTTATTCTTATATATAGGAACAATTACCCAGTTTCCAGCAATCAGGAAATGTGTTTGTCTCCAAGAAAATAGTAAATAGTTTAACTGGTTCAACATCGATAGAGTCAGCCACAAGTTTCAACATTTTGTTAGTGATATTATCTTCTCCACCTTTTTTAGATGAATTAAGGTTCCGTAAGTTATCATTTATATTTTTTCGAGAAATATTTATGTAAGTCAAAGATTCATTTGTTTTCATAGGACAGGGCGGCAATGACTTATCAATTATATTATGGTGGAACTTAGACATGAACTTATTTAAAATAATTAAATAATTAATAGGTCATTGACATACAAGACCGTTCATGTAATACTGCTATGTCACCCAGGGAATTCATTCTTTCACAAACAAAAATCAAAGGGGGGTGATGATTCCCATGGTGCTATCTCTCTAGTAATGATGCAAGGCAGTGAATCGAGTGCAATTACGCATGCCAATATGCTCACGTATTCTAATATAAGTTATTTAAAATGTATATACTACAAGTGGGACGATACTACCCAGTTTTTATAGTCTCTAGACAAATGCAAGTAGACGACATATCCCCTTGGACATACACTACCCTCCATAAGTTTGGCAACCTTTTTTCCCCCATTGAACTACACGTTAAAGCCTCTTTACCTTTGAATTTTTATTTCCTTAACCTGCGATGAAAATACTTATACTATTGATGGAAACGTAATTTGACTTTAATTCCAATACCTCCAAATTTTCTCAATTTTTTTCCTCATTTACAATAGGTCGAACATTGAAGATAAATTTGATGAATTTTTGAAAATCGACATTCCCATGTCAACCAATGGGAAATGGTAGGTTTGCCGCAAGTCATATGACAGAATATCCATCCATCCGAGTCCTTGCAAAAAATACGAGTTAGGCAGGCAATTGAATTTGCTAACTTTATTTAACAAGAAACTGATATGTTTCTTCAGGTTCAACAAAGTTATAGGGCTTTAAAGTCAAAATTGTTTTTCAAAAAACCTCTCCCATTGAAATAACACAGGAGGCGAAAAATTATTTTCAAAAATGACTTTGAAGCGCTTTAACTTTAATATTCATCAAATAAACTAAACACTTAGTGTTCAAAAAAGTTAGACAATTCAATTTTCTATATAAAAATATTTTTTGCTGAATCTTTTACTGAAAAGATATCCTGAATTCTGATTTGCCCCGAACCCTCCATTTCCCATTGGATTACATGGGAATGACGATTTTCAAAAATTCATCAAATTTATCATCAATTTTCGACCTATTGTAATTCAGGAAAAAAATTGAGAAAATTTGGAGGTATTGGAAATAAAGTCAAATTACGTTTCCATCAATAGTATAAGTATCTTCATCGCAGGTTAAGGAAATAAAAATTCAAAGGTAAAGAGGCTTTAACACGTAGTTCAATGGGGGAAAAAAGGTTGCCAAACTTATGGAGGGGAGTGTATATAACTAGAAAAATAAGGATAAGTTGTCTCGGGGACAGAGGCAACCAGAAAATATAGTCCGCCTGGACATGTACATCTAGAAAATTAAGAATAAGTTGTCCCAGGGACAGAATTAATTAGAAATTATAGTCTCTTGTACGTGCATTAATATTAAAAATAGTCTCATGAAAATGAGGAAACGAATAGTTTTATTTTATGCAGAATATGGTAAAGAAAAAAACAGGATAGAGTAGGAGTCGATCCACACCTAGGCAACAGCCAGAAGACTGTTCTAACCACTATGCTAACGGTGATTGGATGCAAGCAGCGTTTTTTAATTCATTGATAAATATCAAATAAGTATATATTACAGTACTACTATAGTACGACATCTATACAATTGAAAAATAAAGATAACCCTACTATCACACCAAACTAGTTCTCACTACGTTCTCGAAAACGGGCTTAAACTGTGCACGAACGGATTTGACGTACTAAGAACCCACTAAAAAGTAAAAACCGTTTGGGATCTGTTTACAAACTTCATGAAACTACTAAAACGAGTAGGTCCTCCAGCACTTAGAGCATGCTAAAAAATTTCTGGTGATCGTCAAAACGTTTCCGAATCGGTTTTAAACTGTGTGCGAACTGAATGAACGTAGCTACAACATTCTACGGTCTGTCTGGTCTACTTTATGGACTTTCCCGGACGGGGTATATGTGATTTAGAATTTTGAATCGATTCAAAATTCGATGGCGACCATACCGTTCTGTAATCAGGTCATGATGACCTTCTAGATGAAGGGACAGTTTATACTACGTTGCACATCGACGTGGTGCGACCTGAACGAACTGCGAATGAGATGGACGTATTGAAGACTGTTTATGAACGAAGAAGCTAATTATTTTAGACATATATCCCGACCGCAGCCAGATTGAGCCCGTTTTACGACATTTTCGTAGGACTGGCAAGAACGGGTAAGAACTAGTTTGGTGTGATAGGGGGGGGTAACAGATAGGACCAACATCTAGCCGGACAATCCATTCGTTCACTGCTGTCAACGTATTTATAGTCCGTCAGTATATATAGTCCTGGGTTATAATGTTTACCAATACAGAAAATATGGTCCGGTTAAGACCACACACTAGGACCAGGTCCTCCGGACCTGGTGTCCTAGTGTGTATGGTCCTCCGGATCATGTATTATATTGTATCTATTATTTCATTTATGTATATATTATTAATTACCGCTAATGTTGTAAAACTTTGGCAATCAGCTGACTGTGTACTAATTAACAAAGTAATAAGCCTGATGAGGCCCATGAAGAAACTCTGCAAGATCTTGTCAAGCAAGCACCTTGAAACTTTATATAATGCGTACATACTCCCTCATTTTGATTATTGTGACATCATATACAATAGTGCATCAGATACCAAATTGCAATCTCTTGAACGGTTACATTATAGAGCAGCATGTCTAGTCTCTGGAGCAATCCATGGCTCGAACACTAATAAAGTTCTCTCATCAATAAACTGGAAAACTTTATCCTCTAGAAGAGAGGAACATCTCAAAATATTTATTTTTAAAGCAAGATATAATAACTTTCCTCCTTTCATATGTGATCTTGTCAGGTCCTATGAGAATGATATACAAGTGCGCTCACTAAGGAGCCACAGGGACTATAAGATTCCCCTTCAAACAAGCGCTTTGGCTAAGAAATCTACAATTTTTAAAGGTATGGCCCTTTGGAATAACCTTCCACCAGATTATAGAATTGGCCAGCCAATTTCAAGATTTAAAAGAATAGTAAGAGGCGATGGAAGCCATGCTTCTACCCTATCAACGTCAAACCTAAAAAATGCCATGCCTCGCTACCTAGAAATTCCTTTAAACCGACTCAGGTCCGGACTTCACTTGCAAGCTCACCTCCATGCACACAACTTTGAACGGGTTGCTGATCCTAAATGTTTATGTGACAATACAAACCAGACAACTTTACATTTCCTGTTGAAATGCCCACTGCTGACAGAACAGAGAACAACACTACTTGCAGGATTGGAGACGATAGGGATCCGTACCTACTATGATGGACTTAATACAGTGGCGTAGGAACAATATACGCCAAAACGCCAATGCGTAGTGTTGAGAAGCTAGAATGAAATAGCTTAATAATTTCCTTATGTTCTTTAGTCATATTTCCTCATTGTTAATAAATTGTTTGTGATCTCGAGCACACTAAAGAAATGTTTTTGGAAACCATGTAATATGTTCGATTTTTTCAATAGTACTCTTTGCAAGGTTTTTGTTCCTCTGTTACTTTTTTCTAGCTTCGGCCACGATAAATGGCACTTTTTGGCGTAAAAATCAAGGTGATTTGGGGTAGAGGGTTATGATAGTTGGAAGTTTAAGCCAGTAAAAATGAAAGTACATTTCAACTTCAGTTCTAGGAAAGCAATTACCCTAATTTATATTTTATTTGAAATATAATAGATTATTATTTTAGGAAATAAAGCATTTAGGCACCAATAATTATTTTGAAAGGAAAAAACAATTTACCACAAAATGTCACGTTGACTTTTGCATGGGCTTTATTTATCTTATAAAAAAAAGTTGAAGACATTAGAGTTATGTTGTATCATTGATCACGGACATGTTTCTATTGATCATACTAGTTTCTTTAATCTGTATTGTTGAGATTTAAAAGATCGGCTTTCCATGGTGATTTTATATCATGAAAAACATTCAAAAGAGGCGTTTTGATTCGTTAAGATTTGACACAGTTTTTTTTCATATTTTTGGCGTAGTGTTGAATTTACACCTTCCTACGCCCCTGTAATATGCATGATCAATCCCAGTTCTTACTTTTTGGAGATAATAAATTTCCAATAGATGTCAATGAGAAACTAATGAACATAGTAGCATATTATATCCACCAGGGTCTAGATCTTTTGGACATGTAATCGATTACAACATGTTACAACTGAAATCCCTCTGGCCAAGGGAAACAACCTTACACATTTTTGTGATATACGAGTGTAGTGTGATGATATTTTATTGACTTTTTTTCATCTATTTTAACAATAACATGACATAAAAATAACTTATTATGTAAAAATTTAATAACATTCCTTTGAATTTCACTCAAAATTGCCGTCAATGACATTAGACTTTGGCAATTGTTTAAGTTTGTATATCTGTATTTATGGAATACAATAAAGATGATTAATAAAAAAAACTAAAAAAACTGTGTATATCTAGTATGTTATTATTTGAAATAAATCGATAACATGAAAAAAAAAATATTCAGGGAGACTATATTTACTCTGACACCGGTCGGTACATTACCTTTGGAAGCCTGAAGTCAGAGAAAGCAAATGCCTCTTTATTGTCGTTTGTTTGACACGTCGCAAAAGGCCTACATTGGATATCAGCTGGATTGTTAAGATCAGCACGTGACACCTCGTCCTCCAAACTCCATAGACCACCTTTATAATACAGATGTTTGATTTTACAGTTTAAATGTTTGATGAGAATTTAAGACACTGTTGTCGACTTACTGACTGGTGCATTGATTGATCAGACGTGAGTGAAGGCCAACGTATTCTTGGCTACCCATCCATTCTGATTCTTGCCGAAGTATACTGACCTGACCCAAGTATTCTGGGTTTACTTATTTTTTCGAATACACTCGATAGATGTCCGCGTTAGTCTTTTAATCATTTGTCGATGGATTCCACGTATATTCAAAAGATGGCTCCTGAAAGTACTTTGGAAACCACTAATGTTTTTATAAATGATATTGATGACTACATCCGGTCGGTATGTAAAACGCACTATCATTGATTTAAGAAAAATTACATGGGCGGAGGACCCAATTTTTGAATATGCATGTTGCATCATACATAAGGTAAACGCAATCTCCGATCTGGCGGAGGGCAGGGGCCCGCCCCTCCCCCTTTGGAGGGCCCCAAAAAGCGAGGGCAAATAAACTTATAGGGCAAAAAATCTTCTCTCAACATAAATTGAGCAATTAAGGTAACAACTCGGCATTACAGGGCATGGATTATTTCAATTTTGAGCCTGTTTTTATAAACTGGCCTCAAATTTTCAGATTTAGGACCCCCTACTCTTGATTTTCAGATCCGCCCCTGGAACGTAAGTATTTTTACAGCCACTGTATATCTTCTGTGCGTTTTTTACTTTTTTTATGTAAACTTGAACCAAAGGATCTAGTGCACTCTCGATTATGATTTCCCCATGAACAAAATAAATCAGTTTTAGAAGTAACATAAATAATACAATGTCACATAATACTTTGGAAAATAACTAAGCATTTGGACCCACATGGGCTGAGGTTGAGGTAATTGAGTTCAGCAAGGGTGTATTGACTTGACAGTGGATGTATTCCATTGACTTAACATGTGGATATCATCAGATTCCAATGAAGGTCATTGGTTTCTATTGATTTTCACAAAAATACCTAAAATACACTATGACCTGAATTGATTGCTTATTAAATAATTTCAGAATATGACACAACTGGTATATCACATCAAATGTGCAAATATAAAGTTTGCAATCGATTCAAGTCATACTTCAAATTAAAAGATTATACATTTTCCATCATTTTCCCTACAATATGGCTATAGAAAAATGCTTCAAAGGCATCTCTTACACTTATGAAATGCCATACAACTTTGTTAATCCAAAGATATATAAAATATTTGGCTAAGATGTAGGGATGTGTAGGATGCAAATGGATTTATGACAGACACAAAAATACTTCCTGGTTTGGCATCTCCACCCCTGTACACTTTATGATTGAATATTTGCCCTAATTGAATAAGTGGCCCATTCACCAATACAGTGCTGAATATAGGCAAACAAGATACTATTGTACATATAAATGTAATAATAAAAGCAGTATATTCATTTTGAAAAATCAGATGAATTTATTTTTGTTCATGGGGAGATTATAATGGAGGGCGCACGAGATCCTTTATTCGTGTAAATAAACATGAGTGTATTTCTGAAAGCAAAAATCCAATAGTAATAAAAATGATTTCCTCGCTATGATTTTAAGACATCTTTGCTAGTGACAGTGACAGCAACATATTTTAACTAGGCATTAACATGCAAAATGTCGTCCCTGGCATTTGTTACAGACGCCGAACGCCAACCACAGAACGCCGTCCACAAAAAAGCTGGCGACTATAACAATATGTCACCAATTGTAGACTCCCACTCGTCAATGCGTATCACTTAAACCTTTAACCATAACGTGCACCTATTCCCTGGCATTTGGGGAATAATTCGTAAACTTTTTTGTAACAAAATGGATCGGCTGAGCTTGTAAAAAACATCAAACCTGAGAAGGTCAGAGTCGACAAAAAATATTCAATCGGCGTTGAATTTATCAGATTAAATATGTTTGAAATTCAGTAAAAGTACATGTAGCTACTTGAATTTTCAATATCTTGGTCATTCTTTATGTATTTTAGATTTTTCAATACACCCAATGAATACTTTAATCTAGTACATTGACATTTCTAAAACATAGTTGAAACTATGTTTATGTCTGTTTAATAGAGTCAAGATTTTTTGTAACTGGAAACATGAGACACAAGATCTAAGGTCATGTGTAATATGAGAAACCTGTGCTGAAAAGCAAGACCGAGGAGGCTGATTGTGCAAAGTTACAAACCACAATAAAAAACAAGACATCTATCGAGTGTATTTGAAAAAATTAGCAAACTCGGAATACTTGGGTCATGTAAGAACACTTCGGCAAGAGTCGGAATTGTTCGGTAGCCAAGTATACTTGGGCTTCCAAAGACGTGCCCAACACTATTCTTTAAAATCTTCTCGTCAACTTCTAACGTTTTTGCGCCAAGTCAAACATAGAACATTGAGGAGCAGTAAAGACCCATTGACTTTTCTCAATTTTAAAAAAGGTCGGTCAAACTTTTAAAAAGGGACAAATAGGTTTTCCCTTAGAAACATTTTGCCCCTGATCAAGTGTTTTTAATGCAAGTTTATGTTTTGTGAAAACTCTTCTCAATACTAACCTACTAATGCTCGCTTATCATAACAAATGACATCCAATCCCTCTTGGAGACACCACTTGGTTGTAGTTAACCCAGCGGCACCTGCCCCTACTACACAAACTCTCTTTGTCATGCTGGTCAGTGTCGCTTAAAATTTGCTTGACACTTTGTCAATGTAGCGTGCTTGTCTCGACCAATATGCTGTTTTCAGAATGTTCACTGGGGAGTATCGTGATCACGGTGCCCTATACTACCCAATGTAAATCGTTCCAGACTTGTTTTTCACAACCATTTGGACTCATTTCGTAGCGGAGAACGAGATGAGACATTCATAAGAATGGCTCAAAAAGATAATATAATTCAATCGTTTAGAAAAATACATACACTAACTTCTACCTAAAACATTCTTTTTCATACCCACATATCTATTTTGGCGATCGTGCCATCATAGTTCAAATTTATCGGCATTAAATAACAAAAATGCCAGAAATATGCTCTAAATCTGCATTAGTGTCATTTAACTATGTTTAAACAAAAAAGTCATTTTATAACGTGGAGCAATATTCACTACATTAAAGATCGTGTTAATATTTTAACTATCTGTACCTTCAAATTTCCATAAACGACCGTAATGTAAAAAGTGGAGTTAACGACGGCGAATGGTCCTTATTCTGACACGGACTTGTCTTTTAATCACGAGGTGAACGACTGCGAATTGTACACAACATGATAAAAATAACGATTAGGAATTGTCTTGTAATGGTATTTATACGTTCCGTTGCTTGATGGATTATCTATGCTTCTGGAAAAATTGCACTTAGTATGATTATGTTTTCGAGGGTTTTTGTACTAAATATTCACACATTTTGTAATTTCAGTTCCCAAAAACAAGTTCCACGAAAGTACTTTTAAAAGTGCAGATAAAAATGTATTGTTGAAAAAATTTACAGCAAATCCTGTCTTAGGTGACACCTATCTCGTATTTAAAAGAGTCAAAACACGAGTCAAAACCCGAGACAAAACTTACATAGTTTAGGCCATTTAAAAGAGGTGACGCTGAGCTTTTTGTACGTATTTAGTGCATTGGAAATTAAGGGGAAAGTCTAAAGAAGAATCCGAGGCAAAAACCTGCATGATGTGAGGCAAATTATGAAATTATAACAAATAATAATGAATCAAATTGTTAATAGTCTAAGGGCAAACCAGTAGATTTTTAACAGTAAATAACGATTAAAACTAATTATTTCTTCTCAACTTTCACAAAACTTCTTGCTTAGCATTAATATAAGCATGGAAGTCAGTTTAAAGCCAATACGGGCGTTTAAAGTCTTAAAAAGTCTTTAAAAAAGCGAAGAGGCAAAACACAAGAAAAAGTAAAAAAATCAACTTTTCTCTCTACATGCATTCTTGCCCCTTGAAAGTATCAAGTAAAGAACATGTATCTGAAATGATTCCCTAATTCAACCTTGACAAGTTTCTCTTTATACGTTTAATTAATGATGATCATTTAGATAGTATCACTCAGACAACTTCTTCCACTGTCCTCATCGACTCTGATAATTTGTTGGAAATCTATAAAGTTTATGGAGCTGTTCCACACTGGAGCTGTTCATTGTGTTCTACAAGTCAGAAACGTTCCAATAACACAAGTCAGAAACGTTCCAATAACAAGTCAACATCATTAACTGGAATATTTAGGTAACGTCCAAATGGTTAAATCTAAAAAATATTATTTCGACAATTGCTACTCATTTAAACCATTTTAAATCATGATTTTTGTTCACAATATGGCTACTTTCATTATGAATCGGTATATTCATTGGATACAAGGCAGGCTGGTGATTATCAGGCAAAATAGGTGAAAACACTGGCAGAATCGCTCGCATCCCGAAATAACAAGACTATAGCAAACGGTTCGTACAAAAAAGGCGTTTGCCGGTGCCTGAAGATAGGGTATATAGTATGGTAAGTTATCTAATTATATTATATTTACATGAAGTCAAGTGAAAGCAATTTCATAACCAAATTTACAAACCTACCTCTACTTTTTCCATAAATCAAGTCCAAATGGTTATGAAAAGCAAGTCCGGGACGATTTACGTTGGGTAGTATCGGAGAACGTGGTGATGCAACAACACCGCGTTGTTGCATCAAGATGGCCAGACTTCCGGTGATAGATTTTCGTACGATATTTTGTTCCCCCAATTTAAACCCATTTCTAGGACGAGTTTCTCAATAACCATACACGTGCAGTTAGCGCACGATCTATATTTAAAGAAACTGTCATCAGTATACATGTAGCATCATCAAGAAGCAATAAGTTCACCGTTTTAGTTCCTCACTATTGATGCAACAACACCAAACCGAAGATGCAACAACACTCCTCTAGATTTGAGCAATGATGCAGCGACACCAATTAATAGTATAATTTCAGAAGACCATAAATCTCGAGAGGAACAGATTTTTAAATGCTACTTTTGCAACACCGGGCCATTACCCATTTGCGTTCTTCCCAAGGCATTCAAAATAGACGTCCTGCGGGTGAAGATTCTTTATATGTATTTTCAAAAAGAATGGGTATCGATATGGCGAACTTTTTTAACACACGTTTCTCTTAAACCAGTAATCAAAAATTTCTGAAAATCTTACAAATTGTCAATTTAATGGCAATCTTTTGAATGGTAACAATATAATTTGAAATAGATATACATACTTTCATCTATATTGTTTTAAAAAACGCATCAAACACTTGTTTTGTTCTTTGTATCATGTTTCCAGAGTGAAATGAAACATCTTTCCGAACAAAACGACATAAACACAACATGTTTAGGTCTCTCAATATTGTAATTGTACAAAGGAGATTTTGGTTGATTTTAAAAAGGTTGTTAATGAAATGAAAGTTTTTCTTGATTTTTATCTATTTTGGGGGATTTTGTTTTAATTTTTTGTATACTTTTTTAAAATCAACCAAAAATTCCTTTGTATAACTTTTATATGCTATTTGTTCCAAAGAGGTTCGGAAAGACATTTTATTTCATTCTCAAGAATTGGTAGAAAGGAGCAAAAACAATTGCACTAAAAAAAACAAAAAATGTTAACAAGAACAGTTATATAAAATATTTCTAAATAATTTTCGCATTAAATAGTTGTCAATCAGTCAACATTACATAAAATACCATGTTTTTTACATAATGTTTTCGATGATTGGTTTAAGAGAAAAACATTGTTGAATTCAGTTCTCCAGTTATCCACATTCGTGAGCTTATCGGAGAACACTTCAAAAAGCATGTTGATAGGATGATTGTTTCAATTAGGATATGATATGAAATGATTCTTTATTTCCTCCAATTTGGAGAGTCAACGTGTAAAAACGTCTAATTGACTTTATCTGTTTATTAGGGAGGTTTAGTTACAAGTTTTATAAAAATCTTGCACGGTGCACATGTAGAAGTATTGCTCTCCTTTGATTCGTTCTCTCCGACTGAGTAAAAAGGAAAACAAAAGTGATAGGATTTAGGCCCAAAAAGGTAAATTGATAGGGATACAGTAATCCCAGATTCCCCCCGGGTCCTTGGGAAATATCATGTCTCTCGGAATTAAACCAATATTGAATCCCTCTCAGTAAATAACCTCTATATAATAGCATTGTGTAACTGGAATATCATTAAACCAACATTCATCCTATACAACTCTTGAGAACGATGTAAAACTACTGGATAGCGTACGCAACTCCTGGGCAGCGTATACAACTCTTCAACTTGATATATGACGTCATACTTTGGGTAGGATAATATACAACACAAAATGGCTGATATGTGTTGTCCTCCATAAATAATTAGTTCTTTGTAAACAATTTCCATTAAATCAAGGGCATTTAATTTAGAAAATGTATAATCTTTATTTTTCAGATACAATATCAATGAGGTTGGCTCCAGGGGATTCAATAGTTAGCCATGTATTTAGTTTGCCTGTATATATCCTTTTTACTTTGATAAAGACAAAAACATTTTTTTTTTATTTTTATTTTTTTATTGAATCAAACATAAAATAATACATTAAACAAGGCAAAGATAAAATATTAAACCACTTTCACACACCACCTCCATTCATTCAGACATTCGCAACAGTCATACCCAGAAGTTCCGGTATATATATAAACATGGTATTTTCAAATTGAGTCACGTTCAAGTTGGGATTTACCTCATTAAATTGTTTTACATACATATAATATTTGATTGCTAGTGATAGCCTGTTTAGCAAAGTGTTTTCATTATTTACAGGTCTTCCGAACACCATATCATGGTCATTAAAATTAAGATTTACATTGAATAATTTCCCTAAATTCTCTTAATAGCTTTTAAAAGAATTTGAACCCGCCTACATTCCCAAACTTGTGCTTTAAAGTGTCTCTTAGTGGACAGTAACTACATTTAGCATCCTGTTTGATTCCTATCTGCGTTAAGTAAGCATTTGTGGTACAAATACCATGTAGAATCTTAAATTGAAGTTGTCGAATTTTATTTTTTTCGTGCATCTATAAGCCATTTTAAAGTAATCTGTTCTTCCTAACTCACGATCATGTTCATTTTTATACAGTGGTTCCAAATATTTGTTTCTATTTAATATTTTTTGAATTGACTTCACTGTTAAACCTTTCAATGACACTGGTTTTTCGCCAAGTGTTAAATGCACAAGATCCGTTTGTAGGCTCGGTTCAAAGACTGAAGTTAAAATACATTAAGAAACCAAACAAAATACGTTTCATTCATGGACCACAGACTCACTCGTTTTATTTATGACCCGACCAACACCTGTAAACAGAGCATAAAACAGTTTCTCTTGTTATTCAATAATACATTATATTGGCGTTTTTGCATCAGCACATTGGTGTTGTTGCATCATCAATAATAAACAGAGGGGTGTTGTTGCATCAATAGTGAGGAAATAAAACCGCGAATTTATCGCTTCTCGATGATGCTACATGTATACTTATGACAATTTTTTAAAATACAGATCATTCGCTAACTGCATGTGTATGATTATTGAACAACTCGTCCTAAAAATGGGTTTAAATTGTGAAAACAAAGTATCGTACGAAAATCGATCATCGGAAGGTTGGCCATCTTGATGCAACAACACGGTGTTGTTGCATCACGATACCCCCCCAGTGATGTTGAAATATTGCCAGCGAGGTCGAGCCGTTTTAAAACCTCCCGAGCATAACGTAAATTTTGGCGAATGGTGATATGACACGACAGGTGTATGACTATCAAAGTTTTCTTATAAATATTGTAGTAACGTTTAACATTTCAAAACTATAAATAAGGTCACCCTTACTCTATTAATTATTCATATCTCAAAATATCATAGTCAGGATTTTTATATCACAATACACTTTAAAGGCAGAATCAGATCTATAGGGGGTGACAAAATTACAAGCAACATGCATAATTGACCTAGCAATCTATTCCTTACAATATCAAATACAATATCTCCCAAAAGATTCACAATATGTTATAAATTGGTGAAGTTATTTATGATTCAAAGTGCAAAAATGGGTGAAAAATGTTTAAATTCTCCCAAAAAAATAAGAATAGTAACCATTCTTATAGAAAAATACTACAGTTTTGTAAAAATCTTTCGTTTTCTTTGAATAAAGTGTGCACTTTTGTGATTTTTAGAAAATAGACATGACAAGGAATGACCTGAGCCAAAAATATTCTAAAATTGAAACAATTTTTTGTTTAGCCTGCTCGCTATCTCTGATTCTCTCTTTAAATTACGTAGTATTCAAACACCCAATAACTATATTTTCTTGGTATGAACATGCATAACCTAAAGTTTTGTTTTGAATTGACATGTACGTACACTTATTTAATCGATAGGATGTGTAATCGTCAAAAAACTACATTCGATACGTAAAATGATGTAACATAGTGCACGTGAAGTTTATTCCATTTGGAATAATGTTTTTAATGAATCTGAATGCCATATATTTATCACGTAATTGTTTGTCCATTTATCTTTTGGATAGTTTCCAGGTTTTCTAATCCTTTAGCGGGTAGTGTAATTGGCATCTTTTCAATTTATATGAATGTATGGTTGACCCCAGTTTCACCAGTGTACTTTATAAAGACATTCATTTCAGTATGTAAGACAGTCCACAACACGTGGAAATTTCAATAGGTATACAGGGTGGGCAAATAAAAATTGGACACTCACATTTATTCTATTTAAAAGAGCATGTAATATGTAATGTAAAGTAATTAGTTTTCAAAAATTAATTACTAGTACAGTAGTCATTCTATCATCAAAGCAAGAGACAGACATATTGGAAATCCATTTTCATGAATTGCTTCATTTACAGATTGTTAATCGTCTCTGTGAATTATGAAATCACAATCAAAATTTTCGTGATTTCTAAATTGTTGAAGATAAGTCACATGATATTATAATATCTTATTAAAACTAATTAAATTCTCCATCTTTTGGTATATAATACATGGTTTATCTGTTTGATCCAAAATACTTTTAAGAATACAAAGTGTCCCATTTTTATTGCCCATCCTGTATAATGGTAATAATTCACAAACACCACCGTTACTCTGTAATGCCATTTGACGTTTATCATTTGAAGTGTTATTTTCCTCCTATTGAAACCACCTCAGAGTTTCAATTAACATGATATACAAACTGTTTTTCTCTATCGGTACTCTAGCAACAGGCTGTTTTCAACAGACTGTTAATTTTGATTATTAATCTTTTGTTGTGGTCCTAATTATAGTTGATCATCAGTAGTCTCGAATAAACACCCTAAAACAAACCTGTAGTAATTGTAATAACCCAGGTGCTAGTAGATAGTTACCAGTTTCACCACCAGATGGATAATTCGGGTCAGATAACAGATGGCAGCTTTGGTAGAATGTTCCCTTGAACCTCAAAATTCATCAGATTAAGTAAATCAATTTTCATATTACACTTATATGTCTGATAATTAAAAGTAAAAGAAAATATTATGTGTCCAACACAAGAAAAGATATTTCACTTTTTGTTTTATACAGGCAAAGTTTTAATAATCATAGTCTTATATTGATAGAGTTATGGTTGTTTCAAAATATGCTCCAGATGTCGTCAATTTCGCTGAAAACTAACTTGCAATGTTCAAGGAAAACCGTTCATAACACAGATGCATTCTTCCCCATGGGTATGGCTCAAATTTTTGCAGCCATTGCCTGTTGGAGTTCTGCAATTGCGGTATGGTTATTTTCATACACATTTATTCAAATAATCCCATTTATAGAAGTCAGGGGCATTGAGATCAAGACTGTGGGATGACCATGGGTTCTCCGTCCTAGGAGAGATAAATTGATAATATTCTCATAGAAACAACTAGTGAGCCAGGCTATGCTATCATTAGAAGTGTGAGGAGTAGCTCCATCCTTCTAGAACCACTGTTCTTCTCTATTGAAGCCTCTAAGTCACTCTAGAACTGCCTAGAACTTCTCGGGAACGCCAATATTGCGCTGTGTGTTAACAGTAACAGTGTTGCCATTATCAACCTCAAACCAAAAGGGGCTGATGAATTCATGTTTGGAAATTGGCAGCCCAAGCTGTTCATTTAACAAAATGAAGGGGCCTTTGAAGCACTTCATCTGGAATTTGTGATCCCAGAACACACTCTTTCTTGCGTTTACATGTTCGGAAAGAAGGGAATGTGATTCATCCGAAAACCTAACATTGGAAATGGACGACATTTGGAGCATATTTTGGAACGACCATAACTCTATCAATATAAGACTATGATTATTGAAACTTTGCCAGAAGATTCCACATTGAATGAAGTCCTTGTGTGCCAAATTTCAGAGCAATTAACCTCCATTTAAGAAAAATATTGAAGAAATGGAGGGTTGCATTTTTTGGGTCACCCTGTAATGTCTATGGGGAATTTCCCCGACCTAAGTCACATTTTCAAAGAAAGTTTTTTCAAAGTTGATAAATAATTATGTTAAGCACATTTTTAATTGTATCTTTACATTTAGATGGCAAATATGATATCACTCTGACTAAATTTTGAATATGCCCTACTTTTTAATTTAATATTTGAAACAAGGCTATATTTTTACTTGTATCTAATCTATTGACAATACAGTGATTGAGCTTTTATTCGGATCATTTGAAAATTGTTCCCGACCCTGATATACACCATAACTATATTGCAGAGGTATGACCTAAACATCGTTTGGAAAGTAGAACCAAGTCTGGTTGATCAGGGATTCAGGGTTCCTCTTATTAAGCAACATCAGAAAGCACATTAAAGGCATCTATAAAGTTCACCATACAAATGGAAAATACTGTTACATGTTGTTTTACAAATACAGTATTGGACTGTCAGTATAAAAGTATCGTAATGAATGAGATCCAGACTCCCATACGAGATGCACGTAAGGCATGAACGACGTTAACATTTGTACATAAATGCCTGTTAAATTTTATTTCCTATACGATAGTTTGAGCAAAAGAAATGTTCACATTTAAATGATACAAACGATATTAATTTTCCAGCTAGCTACATTTGTGGTATTTTTCATTTCGGCCTTTTGAACTTATAGGCATTTGACGCAGATGAGCATTGTGGGCCTCATTGAAACGAGGCTCTGATTATTCGGTCGTTGATTGGCTGCGTAGGCCGGAAGTTGTCGACTAGAGCGCCATCTTCTCCCGTTGCAAGTGTCTCTCCTTTGTTGTAGGTTCTAAGTCGACGGAATTCCTCCATCTGAAAAACAGATCTCTAGGCATTTCTGTCCATCGTAAACATTTCGTAAAACAGTTAAACTATAAATGCCATGGGAATTATGAACATGAACACAGGAAATAAGAAAATAACGTCATGCGGATGCTTTTTACCCGAGGCCCAGGAATACGTTAAAAATATGTTTAAAATGTCCGCTAGTGAACTGATCGAGTTGTTTATAATGCGTGGTGTATACATGTATATTATACTGACTCTGAATCTTTTACTAGAGATTACTTACATGTATAAGAATAATACTGATTTTTATAAGCTTAATGGATAAGAATAAGACTGATTTTTTTATTGACAGTATACCCGGGCCTCAGCTTTTTACAATGTATCTCGACGAGATGGGATGGGATCAGCAGGATTGCATTTCATTTGACACCTTCAAAATAGAAAGACCTGGAAATGATCATCATAATTAACGTTTGAGTTTGGTTAATTTTCGTCTCATATTTTTTAGGAAAGGTACATCGTTTGAGTCTCACCTGAGTGTGAGAAATTGTCAGGGGATATCTGAATAATATCCACGTGACAGATTCACAACATGGTGGTGACGTCAGTGACCCGGAATAACACCAGAAGTCACGTAGCATGGGATCTGTAACAATAATAATCCGATTAATTATAGTGTATTAATCAGAATTGATTGCATGAATAGTGAATATTATCTTTTGACAAGCATGTGTGTCATATTCTGAGATTATGAAATCTCCTGTTATCAAAGTACAGATTCAACCTCTAATTTGCTGATGATAGGTGATACAAAATTAAGACTGATTATGATTGAACGATGTGTCACACATCATTTACCTAGTAACGGAAGTTTATACATTGTAACGAAATTTGAGACCTGTTTAGTGACTGGCATCTTATCATAACTTCACCTGGTAACAGACATGTTGGGTTAAATGCTGCTGAAACTGTTTTCTGTCGTCCTTTATATTGAATATCCTCCAAATGTTCAGTCAAAAGTCTTAACCCGGAATGTTCCTTTCCCACCTACAAATATTACAAATAAATACTATTATTTATTCAATAATTTATGATTACCAATCCATAGTCCAATTGAGGAATACATTTCACATTTTGGTAATGCATCAGGAGATGTAAATATACCAATTGGATTAAAACATAATGAAGTAGATTATTTAATCTATCTGCTTGATTGATTAAAATATGGATAAACTATGAGTCTTAGGTATTAGGAAAAATAATGACCAAAGGCTCATGGGCCAGAGGTCATTATTTTCTCTTAAAACTCAGGACGAATGGTCTATCTTACTTAAACCCCACATTGCATCTTATGAAAGGTTAATGGTCCATGATCAACAAAATTCTCTGTAATGACTAGAGGTGTGTTGATAGGTGAGCGGAGTAATTAGTTCAGTGCACTGCATGTAACAGGCCAGGTACAGTGTTTTTTTGTGTTTACTATTCGACTATTGAGTTCAGTGAACAGGGTGTAATTAGTTCAGTTTTAGTGCACTGCATGTAACAATCCAGGTGTCAACATTGATCATGGATGCAGCAGAATTGTAAGTAAGCTTGGATCAATACTTTAGGTGCCAACATAAATCAGGTGATTGTTTTATTTTAAAGAATACGCAGTGACAAAAGAGAAAAGCACATTTTCATTTGTATATGGATTTCAAATGATGAAAACTATCAAAAACTGTCAATCGTATTTTGTGCAGCACTGGTTTAGGATAGTTTGTCAGGTGTCCACTCTTTAAAAACAAGAGAAAAATAATATACTCTTCTTTGTTACAACTGTTCACATGTAAATAAACTACAGTTTATTATTTTGTGTTGCAACATTAAGTGGGGTTTAAGATGCTTTAAGCATACCGATCGCGAGAAGATGTATTTTCAAATTTGACATGCCGATATGTTACCTGTATAAAGAGAGCTATAATTGCAATACCATCCGGTTTCCCCATGGCCTGTTCAAGACTAGAATACAATGTTGTGTTGAAATGGATCAGGTGTAACTGTAAATAAAGAGATGGACGTCATAATTGACGTAATGTAACTGTAAATAAAGAGATGGACGTCATAATTGACGTTATGTAACTGTAAATAAAGATATGTACGTCATTATTGACGTAATGTAACTGTAAATAAAGAGATGGACGTCATAATTTACGTTATGTAACTGTACATCAAAGTAAAAGGCTAAAATGAGTATACATAATGCAAATGTCACAATGGATATATATTCAAAGTAATTAGATTAAGAGGTCACAATGGAGAAAGTGTAACTGCACAGTTACAAATTACAATGAATGTACTGGAACTATAATTTGGAGGTAATAGTTAATAAAATGTAATTGTACGTTAATGAAGAGTCAGAGGTCACAGTGGATCAGTGGTGAGTCTTCGATGGATTCGATTTACTGTAAAGGATTCTATGTTACAATAGACTACACGCGGGGAAAGTGTAAGTTGTCATTCGTTATTTTTGTGACTGAAATTCCCTACAAAATTTTCCTGCTCATCGCCCTAATTTCCTGACTTTGAGATTCTATGTTTTGAGAAATAAAAAAGTTCAGTGAGGCAAAGTAGAAGGTGTTGTCAAATTAATACAGAAGCTAATTTTGAACAACTGTGAAGTGCATAAGCTTACATGACTTAAAATCAGCAAAACGTCGAGTGGCATTCTACATTTCCTCTCCAAGCATAATCGAATAAAGTGGAAGTCGAAGAGGTCACAATGCAATGGTGAACTGAACCTTTCATTTCAGAGATTGAGAAAGCACTGTTATTCGAAAATGTCATCGGATCGTGTACTATGCATAAAGAATATCTAAAGATTTGGACATGTATAAAATATTATACATCGTATATAATATAGTATCGATCCAATTCAATTAAAACGTGGTATGATATGAAACTATAATACAGTGTGATGTAATAATTGTTCATTATATAATGCTTTTGATAGGATCTGAGATGTTACACCAGGATGTGAGTGACATGATAAAAATGATAAAATTCCGAAGTTGATTATGAAACAATATAATAGGATTTCATATGACGCCCAGGCCCGTAGCTAGGATTTGCCAAGGGAGGGGGTTCATTTTTCAAAAATTTCCAGGGGGGTTCACATTTGACAATTTTGGCCCAAATATTGCTAAAATCACTTGAGAAGTGCTCAAAATGGTGAGCCCGAACTCTGCGAACCCCCCCCCCCCCACCCCCTGGCTACGGGCCTGCGCCTGTCGCCGGAATCAATATATTATACTTGAAGATATTAATGCAGATTAACAACACTCGAACAATAGGCATACTAGTACCTCCATTGGAAACGCCTTAAAATTTACAGTATGCTCGGAACCTCTCGAATCCTCTTTACCCCAGTGGAAACGGAATTCAGCAAGCTCATACTCACAACCTTGTTTTAGCGGGCCACCACAGACAGCTAGAATTTGACAAATGAAATGTGATACGTTGTGATATGTTTCATAAACATAGTATTTCAGTCCAATTTTATACTGATGAAGAAATAATGTCAATTTACATGATTTACATATTGATGTTTTAATGTTTAAATTTTGTTTGAGTACATACTGGCAAAATCTAAAGGTCTGATATCAAAATAATAGGGAGGTCACGTCAAGCTACACGTTTTAAAAGAACCTCGGGGATCACTGTTCCCATCGCAATTTCCGGGGACCAAATAACAACTAACGTTCTTGTGCCTTTTAACAATAAACTGAATCGGACAAGTAAAAACTAAGAAAGAAGAACTCATCCCTAGAAAACCATAATTCTACACGTTCACGTACAACATCTCTTAAATCCTGTAACTTGACCTCACTAATAAGTTCGGACATAATACATGTTTTACTTACTAGACTTTGGAGTAGCTGTCAAGTCAGATCTGAAGGCACCATCTCCTTAACAGAGTTTCATATAATCAGATTATACAGAAATATATAGAGTGTAGCAACATATTAATATGCATTATATCATAATAGATGAGACTTCGCACATAGCAACGAAACGAACATTATGTTATTGATAGAACAAGCAAAGACATACAAACACATCAAGTAAGATGTCCAGTGTATGGGTTTTCATTAAAATCTAGTTAGTGATAACAAATGAATAAACAAAGAGTTCAAATTATTAGTATTATTAGCATTACTTCTACATTTTCTTCAAAAAGGAAAATTAAAAAATATAGAAATGACATCCTTGTATAAATGACAGTGTTGCTTTATGTAATGATTTTGCGTTCACCAATTATTAATCCGTTATAATTGAAACTCTACTCCACTCTATTGCAACGTCACTCTTATTTATCCCACAGAACGAGGTTCTAGAGGGATATAATGAAGCCATCCGTCCGCCAGTCCGTCTGTCCGTCAGTCCTTCCGTCCGTCCAGAAGATAACTTGAATACTAGTACACGGATTTTCTTCATATATTTGGTGGAAATAAGTGCATTGGTGATTAGTTTTACGCAATTTCTTTTCAAGATGGAAGCCGCTTTAAAAATGACGGAATTTTTTTGCAAAAAGAGTTATTCATTTTAAACCAAAGTAATAAAAATTATTGTTTTAAATTTTGGAAGTATAATATTCACAACATCTAACTTTTTCACAATTATTCCATGTTATTCACCCGGACCCCCAAGGGCCATGAATGGGGGGGGGGGGGGAGTTGGTCGGGAAAACAGGAATTTGCATTAATTTTGAGATCTTTCTGAAGTATAGCTTTATTATACTTAAATGAAAGGCAAGGAGATTGCATGAGATTTCGCAATACTTTTTTTGATCTCTTCAAAGTATGGCTTTATTATACTCAAATTGAAGCAATATTAGAGTACATCACAATCATGCTATTGTTTTTCTAAGTTGTGCCTCAGAAAATGGCGGTGTATGAATGGTCGGGAAAACAGGAATTTGCGTTAATTTTGAGATCTTTCTGAAGTATAGCTTTATTACACTTAAACGAAAGGTAATTTAGAGTAGATTGCAAATACATGTATTGTATCTTTTCATTGTATTGAATCGATACAAATTTGTTGAAATATAATCCCTTTAACTAATCCAGAATCATGCGAGATCAATTCAAATGAATGACCACGTGTGCCTTTATTTCAGGTATGTTATATGTCCAATGTATTACCTGCTTTGTAGCGTAGGTACATCACTGAAGTGTGGCCATTATTGATGATGTCTGTCTCTCGACATAGTACATAGTTAAACGACAGACTATTCTCGTTTAAAGTCTCGTCATACTCTGCCTCGCGAGAGTTCAAGTTAATAGGTGACTGGTTATCTCCATTTGCTTCTGGGAAATTCACTCCCCAATCTGACGACCCTGTAAAAGATGAACGAAATATGACATTTGGCGGTTGGGCATGTGCTTAATATGACTAGCAAAGGATTCATGTTATTTTTTTCCTTTAAAAGATTTCCCGTATAAAACATACTCGCTGATTATTTATGAACCAGTTTGATTTTCAGTCATGAAAACTATTACGTCATCCTGCGATTTTCTGTCAGTTGTCTGAGGATTTGAACAAGAAACTAGTTGTAACGAAATGAAATCATCGCAGTTTTTACCTAAATTTTATTATGATATACAGGGTGTTCCAAAAGTAACAAGACTGGTTCTGGCATTTTGTCAATTTTGCACTGGGTGTCTTCAAATTTTCACAAATTGTATTATAAAGTATTGCAACTAGAATTGTAAAGTTTCAGAAAATTTCATAATTGGATATCCAAGATGGTAAAGAAGTCTTCATAGGATATGATCTGTTTATATATACATGTACATTAGCTAATGTACATGTGTGGACACGCTTATTAGCAGGTCAGTTGCATGGCACTAAATAATCTTGGTGATTGACATATCAGAGAATATCCGATCTTGTAAATCATCATGATTTGAGAATAACACAGTGATAAAGCTTAATCACATATTGAATGGCAGAAACCGACAACCAGTGTGAGACAAGGCTGATGGAGTTATGCGTTATGCCTAGGAGGAAGAAATGTATTACATTATGCTTATTAAAATCCCGGGTGTAAAGGGGAAGGAGGTCCTATCAAATTATGGTCCTACTCTCCATTGATTTATATGGTGACCTAAATACAACTTTTTCCCTTATTACACAATCAGTTCCAGTAATGACCGTTTAGAAAGGGGACCATAATCCCCAGGGGACCATAATTTCTTTCACATCGGGATTGAAATGTCCTCGACGAATCTGCAGTGGTCAGCGTTACATAATTTCAAGAACACTGTTTTTCCGTACGTCTGCCTAGACTCTTATATTTTTGTTTTCGAACTGAGTATTTTGATATATATATACCTGTTGGTATTTCCCATTTGCACTAATCATGCACTAATCTATAAGTTCCTTTTTAGTTGAAAACAAAAATAAGCGTGTTAGAGGGATTTCGCACAACGGGTTATAGCTAAAACGGATCCGCAACCGCAACCGCAACCGCATCGTTTTATTTGAGGTACTACGCATAAATCTGGTGAGTGCATTACGGATTTGAGATACGTTGATTAAAGAACGTTGTGCGAAACCTCTCTACTATTTCCCTTAAGCTACGTTCACACCAATGGCGCTTTGATGGCGCTTTAAAGCGGCTTGTAAAGCGGGACCAAAGCGTAACAAAGCTTGATTAAAGCGTCGGGGTCGTAATAGGTCGTAGAAAAGCTCGGAGTTAAGCGGGATATTCGGCAAGAGCGCAAAAATTAAAACTGTTCAAGCTACGTTCGCACCGACGGCGCTTTGATTGCGCTTTAAAGCGGCTTGTAAAGCGGCACCAAAGCGTAACAAAGCTTGATTAAAGCGTCGGGGTCGTAATAGGTCGTAGAAAGGCTCGGAGTAAAGCGGGATAATCGATAATTGATAAAAGCGCCGAGAGCGTATCAAAGCTTAACAAACCGTAACAAAGCTCAGCAAAGCTTGACCCAAAGCGTAGGAAAGCTTTACAGAGCTTAGTTCAAAGCGGGGACCCCAGTCGCTTCACTGTCTGTTACCACTTGATACGCTTCGTTAAGATGTCTCAAGATTTGCTACGATCTGGCATGAAGATCTGACACGAGGTCAGACGCTTTCATCAATATCTGACACTCTTTGTTATCCCGCTTTACTCTGAGCTTTTCTACGACCTATTACGACCCCGACGCTTTAGTCAAGCTTTGATACGCTTTGGTGCCGCTTTACAAGCCGCTTTAAAGCGCCATCAAAGCGCCGTTGGTATGAAGAAAAATGACAAAAATGACGGCGCTTTGCTCGCCGATTTAAAGCGTGGCATTCGCCGTTGGTGTGAACGTACCTTGAACAGTTTAAATTTTTTTGGCGCTCTTGCCGAATATCCCGCTTTACTCCGAGCTTTTCTACGACCTATTACGACCCCGACGCTTTAATCAAGCTTTGTTACGCTTTGGTGCCGCTTTTTTCAGTCGCTTTAAAGCGCCATCAAAGCGCCGTTGGTATGAACAAAAATGACAAAAATGACGGCGCTTTGCTCGCCGATTTAAAGCGTGGCATTCGCCGTTGGTGTGAACGTAGCTTTAAGGACCGTATAGATTAATTGAGTGAGTATTGCTTTAATCATTAATAGTTATTTCATAATAGTTACTGATGAGTAAACCCATTTGTCGATATTGTCTGTCAGTAACCATTTAAACTTATAATTGAAATTGCGCATTATCCAATATTAATAACGTACGAGTTGTCAAGTTTAGGCCATACATATAAAATCATATTCACATAACACAAAGTCACATTATTTGATTATTCTAAACTAGTCGATATGTAGCTCCCAGGATATATTTAGCAGTAAACTCTCCATAGAAGGGGAGTAAGGGCTATCAATAAGAGGAGAGTGGAATAAGAGACGTCCTAGACTAGGTAGCCCTTGTGGGGTATTGAAAACAAATCCGTTTTGTTGTAAGTGAAAAGTGAAACACAATATGTCGGCTATTTTAAATCTTATTGCATGTTCAATTATGTAGTCTGATTTTGTCTCATCATTTTATACCGAGGGTGTTAAAAACGCAACCCAAAGAAATCGCTTGGAAAATACTAATCCAATTGTGTCATTTTTCGGGAAAGAAAGAAGAGACTACATGTATGTGTGTATAGTTTCTGTTGTTAGTTAGTTGTATAACTGATGTCTTGGACACCTGCATGCTCAAAAGACATTAAATGTATTGGAAAAATACGAAAAGGGTGTTCGCCATATCTTGGTAAATACTAATTCAATTATGTTCAATTTTCAGGAAAGAAGGAAGAGACTGTGTAATATGTATGCCGTAGTATCTCCTGTAGATGAATATATAAGCGCAAATGCCAAAGGGAAGGGTGACTAAAAACTTTATAAAGAAACCCAACAAGAAAAGCAAACTGTAAATGTTAATCGGTCATAAGAAAAGTAGACCCTATATATATATATATCCCAAAACCATTATCTAACGTGAAAAGAAACAATGTCTAACATCCCTCTCCCCTCCAATCGAGAACCAATATCACAATCAAGGACCAGAACATCAAGGGACATTTCATTTGTACTGAAGTCATTACAATACATGTTGAAGAAAAATTGAAAAAACTGATAGGCAATACTCATAACATCAAAAATAGTTGTAGATACTAAGATAGAGTATTCAGTCTCAAATGATGTGGGAGAGATAAAATCCAGTCTCGAAGTCCATAGGTAATTCAAATGGTCAACATCCGTTCGCAAAGCAGTCATCATAATCCATAAAACACAACAATTCACAATGGTCATCATGGTTAGTTGTAAAACATGATGCCTTGGACACCTGCTCAAAAGACGGTTGTACTAGAAAAATACGAAAAACGCAGTCAGAGATGACTGCAACAGCAAAAAAACAAAAATACTTTCTAAAATGTCTAACCATAGGTTTTGGCACTTCAGATTTGGCACACATTATCCTCATTAAACGTGTGTTGAATTTGTGGAGTTTCATCAAAATAACTCCAGGGACTTTACAGTCATGGTCAACTCAAGTCTGCCTGGACCAGGGCGTTTGATTGCGATTCGAAAGCATTTCGACCATGACTGTAAAGTCTCTGAAGTGATTCTTACTTCCCTTCACCTTAACTTTCAATTTACGAGCATGTTGCACGTTACCAGAATTGCAGCATTTTAACATTTTCTTTTCGATTTGACACATTCAAAACATTTGTGTATCTTTAATTTTCAGTTTCTCTTTACTTTTGACGTTTGAAACACTTCCGATGATATGTAAATTTTTAAATGAAACACTCTTGATCCGATGATATGAAATTCTCAAATTAGTTTGGGAATGATTGTTACAACTAAAAATATGCTTACATCATTTACTACATTTGGAAAGTATTCACTATGTTAAATTTTTATTACACTAATTGCAACCTTTTTAATAATTGTAAAGTTGTGACATTATTTTTTAAAAGAGAAGCCCCATATCAAAACCCCATATCTTGCTCAACGAATAGTTTTGCATCAGATTTTGTGTATAACCGTCTCATGAGTTTGGTAGGCTTTTTGTGTAGTGTCAGGATCGCTTAACTGATACATTTGACTCAGATTTTGATCTTGCCTACTTAGATACTAACTCTTAAAATGAAAGCCTGAGAAAAACTAGAAGACATTGAAATTATTCGGTGTAATTTTGACATGTATTGAAATAAGAATCCTTTAAAGATAAATGGGAGGGGCTAATTGAAAATTTCTCAAATCAGTATCCAGGAACACGTTTTCTACCCTTTGAACATTGTATACCTTCTTCACTGTTGTACTCCCATTTTTTCTCCCATTCCAACGGCCATGCGTCAAGTTCACATTGTGATGTCATATCCGTTGAGGCCCCCGTGTCCTCCTCCGCTCTGAACGACATGTCTTTGTTTCCAAAAGTCAACGTTTATTTACATGCAACGCGTCATTTTTGTTGTGAAGGTTTTAAGATTTTCATTATAATTGGTCGTTGCGTTTTACGTTTTTCTCTTCGGTTTTTGCGCTGTTTTTAACTCAGCTTGTTAATATAGTAACAGTTCTTCTTTACTGTTTGTATTTAGTACAGCCTCACCTCCTTTTACCACGTATATTGTATAAGATATGACGTGGCTATTAAATTCTTCACCAGTTATTGTGTTGAATAGTGTACATTCCAATCACAAAATGTTCTAAGATCAGGTTGCTATACTACTACCACAAATCCATCTACTACAGTCTCCTTACCTAATACCGACTATTAATTACTTGGCCGAAACACAGTTGATAAGTCGACTAGGTACAATGCCATTATCTAAAAGAGTATCTTAAATCCTTAAAGGTATTTATCCATTA